CGGGCTTTTGGAACGGTTCTATGAGCCAACTGGTGGTTATATCAGTGGGTAGCCACACCATGGATATCATCATTCATATATCTAATCTCTATATAGCATTGGACGGTGTCAATATCACGCACCTCAACTTACGTTGGCTGCGACAGCAAATGTCCTATGTGGTGCAGGAGCCGGTCCTATTCAACAGGAGTATCTTCGACAATATCCTCCTGGGACTGAACGATCTGGGACAACATAGAACTATGCTTGAGGCGAGAGAGCTGGTGCATGCCGCGGCGAAAGTCGCCCATGCCCACGATTTCATCATGGCTTTGCCGCAAGGGTATCACACTGAAGTGGGTACGAAGGGCCTGCAATTGTCTGGCGGTCAACGGCAACGCATATGTATCGCAAGATCAGTCATCAGCAATCCGAAGATTCTACTGCTGGATGAGGCTACATCTGCCCTTGACTCGAAGTCCGAGAAGGCAGTTCAGCTGGCTTTGGACTCAGCTGCCAGGAATCGAACGACAATTGTCATTGCTCACAGGTTGTCGACCATACGAAACGCCGACAACATCATTGTTATGGGTAAGGGAGTCATTCTTGAACAAGGAGCACATGAAGATTTGATGGCCCTAAAAGGTGCCTATGCACAACTCGTAGAGGCACAGCAGGTTGACAGTGCCATGGACGGGGAGGCAAATGGGCGTCTCTCAAGTACTGAAGACGATGCTTCGAGTGATGGCAAGGCTGGGCCCTGTGAAATGTCGGAAACAGTCAACTTTCATCACGACGACTATCTCGCCAATGATCATGGACCACTTCATGACTCCAGACCTTCATTCAGAACCTACTTTCGAGTGGTGCGCAAGCTCAATAGAGAAGAGGTTGCAATAGTACTCACTGGACTTCTACTGTGCAATCTTACGGGATTTGTGGTTCCAACGTGAGTACTTGCGCATGCTGTCTGAAAAGCGGCTAACATGTAGAAGGCAAGCTGTTTTCTTTGCTGAATCGATCAGTGCTATCACTCTTGACTCTACGAGATATAGCAAGCTTCGCCATGATATCGACTTTTGGTCCTTACTTTTCGTGATCCTTTCTATCTTTGCCTTCATCACATGGATAAGCCAAGGGATCTGCTTTTCCCGGTCTACAGAGCGACTCACACACAAAACCCGAGACCAAACATTCCAGTCCATCATCCGTCAAGACATAGCGTTCTTTGATGAGAAGAGAAACTCCCCTGGAGCGCTGACGTCGTTCGTCTCGACCACGGCCACTGACATTACCGGCCTGAGCGGGCCCATCATCGGCTCCAGCCTCACCTTCATCGCAGCCCTGGCCATAGGCATCACTGTCTCGCTCATCACGGGCTGGAAGCTCGCTCTCGTCTGCATCGCGACGATCCCCATAGTGGCAGGATGCGGCTATGTTCGCCTCCGCGTCCTCGCACTGTTCGACCAGCGGGTCCGCAAAACGCACGAAGAGGCCGCTATCTACGCGACGGAGATCATAACGACGATCCGGTCGGTCGCTTCCCTCACTCTCGAGGAGTACTTCCTGGACGAGTATACGGCCATCCTCTCGCGCTCGGCCGCTCAGTCCATGCGATCGATCCTCAAAGCCTCGGCTCTGTACGCCGCGTCGCATTCATTCACCTTCTTCTGCGGCGCCCTCGCCTTCTGGTACGGCGGCACACTCCTCGCCAAAGACGAGTACACCATCCTCCAATTCTACGTCTGCTTCGGCGCCCTGATCTCGGGCGCGCAAATCGCCGGCGCGGTGGTCTCCTACGCGCCCGATATGAGCAAAGCGCTACACGCGGGCCAAGAGATCGACCGCCTCCTCAACCGGGCCGCGCAAATCGATACTCAGGAGCACCACCAACATCCCACGATAGACCACCACGGCGCCATCGAATTCCAAAATGTCACCTTCCACTACCCCTCCCGACCCGCGCACCCCGTCCTCCAGAACTTCTCCCTCACCATCCACCCGGGCCAATTCATCGCGCTGGTCGGACCCAGCGGCTCCGGCAAGACCACCGTCCTCCAACTCCTAGAGCGGTTCTACACCCCCACCGCCGGCCAAATCCTGCTGAACGGCGTCGATATCTCGCACCTGTACGTCAACAATTACCGCCAGACCTTCTCGCTAGTCAGCCAAGAAACCGTCCTGTACGACGGGACCATCCGCGAGAATCTCCTCCTCTGCGGTGCTGACCGCCCGCTCGACGACGAGGATTTACTGAGGGTGTGCAAGGAGGCCAATCTCTATGATTTCGTCGTCTCGCTTCCGTACGTTCACCCCAGCCCTAGAGCCTCCCCCCAAAACTAGGAAATAGCCATCGGCATCCGAACGCTAACAAAGAAGGAAAACAGCTCCGGCCTCGACACCCCCCTCGGCACAGCAGGGACCATGCTCAGCGGCGGCCAGCGACAGCGTCTGGCGCTCGCGCGGGCCCTGCTCCGGATAAACAGCCCCGTGCTGCTCCTGGACGAGGCGACGGCGGCGCTGGACGGCGCGTCGGAGCGCGTGGTGCAGGAGGCGCTGGATCGGGCGGCCACACGGAAAACGACGGTGGCGGTCGCGCATCGGCTGCGGACGGTGCAGCGCGCGGATATGATTGTTGTGATGGAGCGGGGGAGGGTGGTGGAGTCTGGGAGGCATGGGGAGTTGATGGCCCGGAGGGGGGTCTATGCGGAGTTGGTGGGGATGCAGCGGTTCGAGGGGGTTTAGAATGTCTGACAGTTTGGTTGTTGCGCTTGATCTCGGTTTGCGCTTCTTTGATAGCAGGGCAGTGGATGCATGCGGGTGTATGAAGATTTCTTTTTGAAAGTATATAGGCGTGCTTGGTAGATCTCAGCACGGGAAGAGAAGGGTTTTAACCACCTCAATGCTCAATACTGGGAGGTTGCACCACTCTCTTTCCTCTTCCCTGCTTCCATATATACACTGTGTTTGCTCTTTGTGAAACATGGTTTCAGATCCGTATACCAACTACAGCCCGTTTGCCCACGCTCAACCACAGGAGAATGAAAGTCATCTATACTGATTCCGAGTTACATCCGATTCACCTTTCCAACACTCCACTTGTCCACCGTAAATCCACATCTCCATCGTTAGAGGACAATATATAATATGCTACGTGTGTGGATATTGGAAGAGTGTCGGCCGAAGGCACAAAAGCCGGGGCCATTGCCCAAGTCCCTGTATGCATGCCCCCCCCCCCCGGGCAACAATAGGGCTGCGGTGATGTAGTGGTATTAGTATTGCAGAGCCCCCTTGGCCTGGAGCGAAGTGGGCGTGCAGAGTCTGGGTTTGAGGCCCGGCCGCGGTATTGTTTTTGGGATTCTTGTTGCCGAGGGAAGGCGTTGTGGGGGCTTTGTTGGTGATTGATGCAGGGTTTGGATGTATGTTTGGGGGTATGGGTGGGGCTTGTGGGTCGGGTGTGAATGTCTTGCTGTGAGTGATCATTGAATTTGTGGTGTTAGAGGGTGGAGACGGTGGTATTGGAATAGTTTGGGAGGAGGGCAAAGGGGGGGAAGGAGGTAGAACTTGGCGAAGGAGAAATGGAAGAGGAGAAAGAAGGACGACAGAAGAGAGGCAGAAGTGCGGACAAGGGCATGTCTGCAAAGTCGAGTGCTTTGTTGGCCGATTCCTCGAGCTCCCGTCTAGATCGTACTTGATTCACCACGGTTGTGGGGGCCCTGGAGAAAGGGCGTCCTAAAGGAGTGCTGAGAAGGAATTGTCTATACAGAGTACTCAACGAATGTTTGGCTTCTTCACCACGTCAGCAGCACGATACGGCACGCCAGGCTCCTGCCTGCCACGGCCCGTTGGTAGTCACCCAATGGAGACAGAAGCTCAGTCGTATGGACATCCTGCCAGGCCAGGTCCGGCTGAAATGCGCTCGACGTCTAGAACTACTCCAGGCCTTGTTCGGGTTCATGCCTTGCAGCCTTACCATGTACCCATTGCGAAGGCCCAGGCATGCATCCACAGAAACAACAGCTTACGGGAAAAGGGTAGCAGACCGCGAGTAAGCCCATGCCTGAAGCGGAGCGCACTAGCCTTGCGCTTCGAAGAGTCTTGAGCTAGGTGGTCTGATTGTCAACTTGTGAACGGTTGGTCCACATATTGAAGACGGTATATACAGGAAAGGAGATCCCAGTATATGCTTACTAACGCGACATCCGTCTCACCTTGTAGGGTTTAGACCCTAATGCGATGGAGTGGAAGTGTGCAACGATGGTAGGCACTTTGCATGATAGGGACACCAGGCCGTACGAGATAACATGGGTAAGCACGGAACATTCTCGAGCATCACTATCCATGACTCGACGAGTATTTTGCGTGAGAAGATGACCGACGGAAGCTCACGAGGTCAGAGTTGGAGTGTTGGTCTAATGTCATCCGACTCTCGGCCGTGATCCCTTGCTTCTCCATCGCGACAAGGCAAGGTATGGAAACAGGAATAGCATGTGTTCGTTATGCATGCCAATTCTATTTCGAATCCTAATCGACATCGCTAGCTCTTCTGCCCTGGGTCGTTCCAATCGGAGCAACGCGGCCTGTTGGAGCTATTAATTAACAACAAGTGACTAGGCAGTAGCGGCATCAAGGACTGCAACGGTACTATAAATTGTGGCACAGACAGTGAAGCGAAGACTAGTCCGGAGGGGTTCTGGAGTTCATGCAAGTCTCACCATCGCTCAAAATAAATGCCACTAATTTGCATCCTGGTTAACCCGCATACTTAGTCCTGCGGGTTAAAAATATCCCTAATTTCGCTGAGTTCGGCGATGCGCTAAGCCCAACCAACAGGTTTTTACCTGCGCAAGAGCAACGAACTCCGGGCTAAGCAGACTAAGTGTCCATTTGAGGAGTATTAATAGGATGATTGTCAATTCAGCCCACCAATCATCCGTCGAAAGAGGGGTTTCCAACAGGTTGGTTCTGGCAGCTACACAGCCCTCGGCTGGGGTTGACAGCGGCGACGCTCCATGCCAATGGACCGTTTCAAGTGGGTGTCAAAGTAGCAAACCGTTTCAACCCAACCGCGTGCTGGTCAAACAACGTGACAGCTGCGGACTAAAAAACCTCATGGCCACGCGAGAACAATACTTAAGGACATCATGCACATCACTTTTGCCCGAGTGAGACATTGACATTGTTCTCGGCAGCCATGTCAATGGCTTCAGCGGCAAACTACCAGGCAAGCGCCACGCTGACCCCCTGCTCGAGCCTCATCGACAAGGAGCTACCCCACAAGACGGCCGTGGAAGATCCTGCCACGGAGCAACTGGCATTCGCCCTGTTTGAGGAGAAGGTTCTAAAGAGACTCGAACATGTGGTACGCTTGTACAATGCGGGGAAACCGCTTTTCCCCCGAGCGCTGCTGGAAGACCTTGACCGGCAAATCGAAGAAGGCAGGGAGGAGATCCGCATCAAGGACTTCGATGACGTGGTAAGCACGTATAGCCGGAGTGTCCCTGCTCTATGCTTGGACCTGGCGTGAGTCTCCGTTCATATGGGTTGCGGTGTTGTCAGGCCGGGTCTAATCAGCGACAGAACAACATACTGCATCGGATATAGCAGCATCCAAGTGCTTACCCATATCCACCCTTCCTGTGCAACGATGATGTTCAAGGACCCGCCCCCAGTGTCCATTCTGTATACCCGCCACCCCGAAGTTGCTGAAGGTAACATCGAAATGCTTGGTCCGGTTTTTGTCAAGATGCGCGAACGGTGGCAGGAGAGCGAGACATGCCAAGAGCTAGTATCCCACCTAACGACCCTGCGCTTCTCACTCCCGATTCACAAAATTGTGGCGTTCGGTCTGGGGACACTGGGTAAGACGCAAAATGGACGGTTCTCCACACGGTCACATGTTCAGCATGCGGCAGTGGAAACGATGGCGACCGTTCTGGCCAAAAGTGGGGTCAGTGGAGGCAAGAGGATCGACTGCTACTTCCAAGATCCATGGTATGATGAAAACGATGTCAGGTTCCTGCACAGTATAGGCTTCCAACCACTGAACGATCCAAAGGGGTTCCTGGAGATCGACGAACATACCTTGGTGTTTTCGGTCAGCCCCAACGTACCTGTGAAGCAGATTGTCGCTGACCTCCAGTGGCCCGGTGCCATGATCTGGAATACTGTGTGTGGAGAAGAGGAGAGAAAGCAGTGGAAGAGGCGGTTGAGGAATGGCGAAGAGTTCTGGTTGGGGTAAGTAGTGCCTTGTTGCCTGGGTGCCTGGGGGAATCGGTTCAGTTTATGCTGATTGATTGATGGATGTTGATGTGGTACTACAGCCCGCTCGCCACGGATCCCGACTCGGACCGCGTTTGTGAGATGATCACTCACTATCAGAAATTCGGATTGCACGACCCGAAGGACTATTTCGGGGACCTCTCAATCTACGTCAGGCATTGATGTATGTGGCTTGCTAGTACCGATTTGCCTCTCTCCCTCCCTGTGTGTGTGTTCGTGTTGAATGAGTAGAATATATCTTCTATGACGCGCATTGCTTTCATGCACGTATAACTTGCTAGCACCAATGGAATTAAAAAGTATCTGAGTCCCTGCTCTACTTACATGTGGAATTCTTTGAGATTTGTCTGGTAGGCGCTAAAATTGACCGTGCCAGCAGTACCATTATGCACTGGCAAGGATGATTGATGCCTGAGGCTTGAAGCAGCACAACCAAGTCTCGTATGGTGCTGGAGGAAGTTGATGCCTGAATAGATATTATAAGCTTCTACAAAGGTCGATCCCAAGTGGTATGATTAAGCAAGTCAAACAGTCCGTAATCACCGGGCAGGTGACTCCAAGGCGCCAAACCACCACCGCTGCTGGTCTGCCATCCGGCGTCAGCCCGGAAAGTGGAAGGATCGGGCGGATCAGGCCGGGCTTCGAGGTCCCGGGTCTCGAAACTATTATCAGAGCTATTTTCAGACCCTGGCGTTACCTGCGTGGATATCGATGGACAAAGTCGACGCAGGTTGTTTCTGATGAGGAGAGCCGGATGCCAGGACGTTGACAATTCGTCCAGCACGGTAATGCAACTAGCGAGGTGGGTGACATTGGAGGGACTCTCATGATCTTCGAGCAGCGCCACCGCAGCACAGAGCGTGCAATGCATAGCGGAGATCGGGCTGCGGTGGAAGCTCTGGAACACTCGGCGGTATTTCTGAGCCGTCAGACACATCGCCTTGGCGGACTCGCGCCAGACAGCCTTGGCCACGGTCGTGAGTTCGCTGGACCCTGCTGCGCGTTGATGCTCGGCCGTTTGGACTATGAAAGGCCGAGTGAGGAGGATTCGTGCGGTATGGTAGAGCATGTGTAATGTGTAGACGTGCGGGACATCATTAGAGCGGTCAATTCGAAGCTCCTGTGGTAGGTCATAGAACCATGTCCGCAGGTCCAAGAGGCAAGTCCGGAGGAGGTTCAATCGTTCCGGTGGTTTGGTCAGATGCCTCGGAGCCCATCTGCTCTTGTCAGACTAGCATACCAGCTTATCAGTTGGTGACAAGACGTACAGTGATGTGAGTATTCTTTCTTGTATGCGACATAAAGCTATCATGGCTCGCAGTAGAGGCATCCGTGCCCTTTGGATGCTTTCTGGCGTGCGGCCATGGGTATGTTGATCTTCATCCATTATTGACGGCAGCTCAACTGCTCCTTGTTGATCCTGTAGAAAGTCAGTGAACATGTCGATTGTGTTCTCGTGAGTACACGTACGAGCATTGAGCAGACCCGACCGGTATACGTGGCAAACAACTTGTCATGACAGTACAGCGTCCAATAAACTTGTCGTCTGAGGCGAAGTTCCCGGCCAGTCATTTGTATCGTCCTTTCGAAGATTGCGGGATCCACATTTAGCCCAACATCAAGGCTCAGCCGATTAGCCATACCATGATGCAGCCATCCAGCTGCGTCCAAGCCTATGGCCTGGAAGGGAAAAGTTAGCATACAAATATGTCTCGGAATCGAGAGACGTACGACGTAAACCATCCCGATGACCCCCAACGCTTGAATTGTCAGGAATGTAGGATGCTCCATTTCCTGATGTAAAAGGATCTTGGCCTTTTCAAAGAAAGGTAATCCGGCTGTGTTCGAGTCGCTAGGGTCACTCCGAACCTCTGGGTTGTCCGAATACCGGGACCCAAGCGCAAGGATGGAGTAATGAAGAAGCAGACTCCAATACGGGCCCTGCTTCTCCATACTTTCGCGAAAGAGGGTTTCGTCCACGATGGGATACCACGGTTGCTCCCAGGTAAAGTAGAGATCGATGAGCTCGTCCTGGAGCGCTTTAGAGATGCCTATTTCCTCAAAGGCAGGATCCACAAGGGGAAAGTTGAGAAACTCATCAATGCTCTGCAGGACGGGCTCTAGCTCAGGAACGGAGTAGGCGTTCTCCAGTTCCTCTTTCTCTTCCGGCCCCGGGGATTCGAAATTGAGTCGTCCGCTTGTCGGTCCGAAGTACCTCATCTCCCCGTCCTGGTCGAAGTTCATTGGCTCATCTAAGGACAAGCGACCTTTGAGGTAATCACATAATTCCTCTATCGATGCATTCTTCATATTGAACATCTGAGGATCATGGTCTTCATGAGGGGACCCCGCATCGATTGCTCCAGAGGCATGGCTTGCTTGAGGATCAATGCCATGACTTTCCAGTTGCTTCTCGAGAGATGCGATTCGCTGCCGCAGAAGAAGCACGTAGGACTTTGGCGCAGGCCGACGGCCATCTTCTGTACCAGAGTATTGACATTGCGCATCATACTGAGCACATCTCGAACAGCGAGGTTTCTTCCCATCACACTTGTAGCATGTTAGTAAGCAGGTGGTTGATCGACGAGCACCCGAGAGAAAAAAGAGGCTATACCTTCGCTTTTCGTTGTCGACATTCCTCGCACGCTTTGCTTGTATATCTCCCTCTCGTTCTGGAAGCGGCCTTTCCTTTTAGAGCAGAATCTGTGGATGACATGCTGATAGTTCATGGTTGGAAGAACGAATGGACAAAATGATGAATCATGTGCAGTTCGATTGGAAGTATTGGGCAGATTTGTCAGCAGCAGCGTCATTGCTGTGCTTGTCTTGGCACGCCGAATCGGGCTAGTCTGCTTCGCTTCCCTCCCAAGTTCCATCAATTGTTCGCGGAATCGGCGATTGTGATCACCTCAGCTGTTACTCGCAGCTTCCTCAACTACTTCCTCACAGGCAGCGGTGTTCTACCACAGACTATCTTTTCACTTGAACCAGCCAACTGCTCTATTGAAATTGATACGATACTAACATTAGACCTGTCTATCTGCGCCTCGCAATGCACGGGTAACAAATGAGAAAGAAGCGAATCCACCAAACACTGAGAGTCAACAAGCCTACAAATTCGAACCCGACCCAACTCGGCCCATAGTTCAATACCGCGCCCCCACAGCCTCTCCGGTGGCTAGTGCTACGGCAACCACAGTGTCCGAGGCATGGCTGATTGTCACTTCGATGTTACTGATGCCTTTGGATGCTGCAACCGCATGAGCATTGCCATGAAGCTTGTAATAGTCAGGACCACTCAACATTCAAAGGAATGTCAACAAAACTTACGGTCACACTCAGAATACCATCTGTATTCACAATCTCAATCTCATTCATTGAAGCTCCTGCACCTCGGGACGGCGTTTGCAGACTCTTGAAGACAGCCTCTTTAGCACTCCACCGACCTGCGTAAGAGGCACGGGGACTTGAGGCCTTTCGGCAGTACTCGCGTTCTCTCCATGTGAAATTCCGCTCAATGAAGTTCTCGTTTTCGATGTTAATACTCGCGATCTCTTCCACATCCACCCCGACAGTGACGGATGAAGCCGGCTTAGAACGACTGGTCACATCTTCAACCATTGATTGGACGATTGCCGATACGGTGTTTGACCTATCGGTTGTTGACATCATCTCTGCATTGGTTCTCTGGACGACGAAGACATCTTGAGTTGAAGCCCTGTCAACAAACCGAGATTGATCTTTGGCGAGGCGGCTGTTCTGATTGAGAAACACATCACGCATGTGATCGGTGTCTTTCCACGGCGCACTGGTTTTGACCTGAACTAGTCTGTTCGTCAGCAACCGCGAGATGTATTCTCTAGTTGCTGCTCGCTGTCGCTTGTCTACCTCGATACGGTATCTCTCAAAGACCTCGGTTGACACGGATGCAAACAGATACCTCGGGGCGACCATGACGTTGATGGCACCTTTCTGACCAAAGCCAAACGATGTGAGCATGGTCGCCTTTACCTCATGAAGCGGCAATGACTCCATGGGGTACAATAGATGTTCGAATCTTCGCAGTTGCTCATCGATGTTGTCGGCGTTTCGATTCCCAGGAACAATCCTGTCTCGGAATATTTGCATACAGCCGTGTAGTTGCCAGGCGCCTGCTGCTGCCTTCGGATGGCCAGTTAGTGATTTCTGGCACACGCAGAGCAGTGGATTGCCTTTGCGTCGACCCAAGTGAAGCATCTGCGTGTTGATCACGTCCCCCTCGTTGACCTCATTGGCTTTTGTTGATGTCCCATGCATTGACACAACCCCAACGTCGTCAACAGTCAGGCCCCATGTAGCCAAAGCGGCTCGCACGGGTGAGATTGAAGAGTCCTGTAGGCGAATATTGTTCGCCCATCGCTGCTGCGCATCCCGGATTCTCAGGTTCACGACTTGCTCCGTGCGAGTATCCTCAGGCCCCATTTCGACACTTTTGCTCGACGAGTACTCTCTTGTAGGTTTCTGACCTAGATGATGCTGTTGGATGCAAGCTACTTCTCTATCGAAATTTGAGCGCCGGAATTTAAAGTCGAGTAAGGGCGAGCTTTGCGCTCCAATCCCCTCGCGTGCCGCAGTGAGGATCCCCTTACCGGGGGCCGGTATTGACCGACCGATCTGATCACTCGCGAGTTGGTTGTAAGCGACCACACCATAAATTGGCAATCCCATGTCGAGCGCGACGTCAGCACTGGCAAGTATCTGGACACCGCATCCTGCAGACTCAGCAAAGCCACTGCGTGAACTTGCCGTCGGGCGCGAAATCTCGCTCGGCAAACGGTCTTTGGCAAGCTCTTCGGCACTGTTGGCCGTGGCTTTGATGCTTGCGAATTCATATGCCACCTCCTCGCCATAATCATCACACCCGCCAACCAGAGCCATCCTGCATTTCCCGGTCGTTATTGCTTCACAACCCGAGTCCAAGGATTCAATGGCGGTGGCACACGCTCCAACCGGAGTTTTCAAAGGCCCCGTCGAAGATAACAACAACATGTTGATCCATGCACCCATGGTGTTGGCAAAATGATCTAGAATGATGTCGCCTCGGATTGGTCGATCAAGATATCGGTCTCGATACATGGATTGGATGGTCTTACCAGGGCCGCCACCAGTACCCAGGCAATTAGTTAGCTCCGACGGATGGATGTGTTGGTAAAGCTCGTATGGATCCTGGATCCCGGCCGATAGAAACGCCTCAGAAACGCAACACAACGCATACAAAGTCGTTCGATCCACCTGCTGCACAATGTCATCCGGAATTCCGTACCGTGAAGGGTTCCAGCCCTTGGGAACTCTTCCTCCAACAGTCTGGTCGAATGGAATAGTTTTTGGGATCATTAAGGTTGCGCCTTTTTTGAGGAATACCCGATAATCTTCCGATCCTGTTATAGGCTGAATAGAGACTTTCTCACCATGCCGGAGCTTGAAGGCCTCCGCTGCTGACTTTGAGCTCTCAAATGGTGGCAGGTCGTCTTCAATCACCACTTCTTGGATGAACTCTTTCCGCAATGGATCGTAACTGTCTAACTCGCTGGGCTTTATCAATCTCAACCCAGTGCCCTTCGAAATAGATTCACCGTATTTGGTTGAGATGTCTTCATCCTCGACGGGCTCACCAGTCTCTGTGTCGACCCAGCCAACATATGGCTGGCCTTTCAGATCACCATCAACATGTTTTATCAGTCCCATTATCCAAGCCATCTCGATGTATCCCTCCAAGGAGAAATGACCCTGGGATTCCATCTCCCACCTTGTGTGAGCATTACCCCATGGCCCCAGTTCTGAGAATCCAACCACCACCACAGTGCGTGAGAGGTCTACCATGCCGAGGAGATCAGGAAGCCCAGAGATCATGTCATGATGATTTCTTAGAGGAGGAAATCCGATTTTTAGGTTAGCACGTTTTCTCTTAACGAGTGGCTCCCTTCGCTGACTGCGAGGGTGCTGGCCATGGAGAGCCACTTGATGGTGCATGTCCTCTTTTGTCAAAGCACCTCGGAGCTGTTGCTCAGCATCCAACCTTTTCCGACAGGATGCTATCTGCTCTTTGACATTCCACATGGACCCTAGTCCACCAGTCAGGTCGGCATAAATTGGTGCCTCTTCCGCAAGATTGGTTACACTAGGCGTTAACAATGCCAGTATATTCAACGCCATTTCAGCTTGCGTGAAAGTGATCACGCCGAATCTCTCCATCTCAGCAGACAACGCATTGGATGAGCGCATCAGGCCAGTGCCCCGAGTCCATCCGATAACTGCTCCGCAGACATTGACGAAAGTCGACCATGTCTCAGAGTGAAAGCGGTTGAAGAGGGTTTTTAAGCCAATCTTAGACTCGGCGTACAAACCATCCCCTCCAAAGGTGCCTTCATTGCAGGACATGGGTAATATCACCATGGTTGGCCTGCTTTCGATCCGTCGCTTTTCTTTCTCACGGCGTACAAAGCCAATGAGTCTCAGAATGTTGACCAGCATTGCTCTGAGAGCAACCTCTTGCCGGTTACCTAAAGAGTCTAACTCTCCTGCCTGCGGAATCGCTGCAAATGGGATAATGCAATCCAGATCACCGCCTACTGGAGAGTCCGAGCCATAGATGTACTGAATCAGTGCCTCGCAGTCTTTCTTGCTCGCTTGATTGAAGGATAGTAGGGTCAAGGATGCTCCTCTAGATCCGTGCTTTCTGAAAAGACTCTGAAAGAAGGTTGCACTGCTGGAAACCGCGCGGCTTGTGGTAACGACGACCCTGGCGCCTCCAGCTAATAGTCCTCGGACTACATGCGCACCAATCGAGTCTGGTCCAGCCCCTGTTACGAGGACTGATTTGTTTGCATATGTGAAACCGGTCGTGACACCTGCATCGAGAGCTGTATGAAAGATCTCTGTCGCTGCGGGGTCATACAACCAGTCTTCCTCATCTCGCCGTTTTCTCAGGTGCACGAATGGGATCGCAGTCAAACCAGCTGCTGGAGACGTGCGCCCTTGGCGCACGACATCAGGGTAGTTGCGAATATTGCGAGGTACTTCATCATACTCTCGTTGTCCCGACGTTGAGATCATTGTCCTCGGGCCCACAGGTGGCTGGGTGTGGATGAAAACAGGATCTGCCATTTGCGAGCGTTTACCGAGACGCAATATCTCATGCAAGATCGAGAGGTTTTTGCCGATCTGTGGTCTGATCGATGTTACCTCCTGTTCTGGCAGCGTTGCTCCCAAATGAGTCTTTACTATTTCAACGCAGCTTGGCTCCCAACGATTAAATATGCGACGAAGGCGATCATCCACGCTCAGTAATGTCGCATCAATATGATCGCTTGAAACTTCATGTAACCATCGGAAGAGGTCTTCTCTAACCCAATTCCACCAGGACTCATACTGCCGGGCCTTATTGAGGTCGAACATCGGCTTGACAGAATCCAGAAACTGTTCGTCCAACTCAGCATTCCATTGCTGAAGCTGATTTTCCATGGCCTGCAAACAGATTGATAGCTGGATCGAGTCGACATCCAATGCCTGTTCGTCTGGCTGAAGGTAGGCTGCTAGAACCTTATACTGTTTTCGATAAAGCTCCTTCTGCTCGCTTCGAAGAGATTCGAAGTCCGCCGAGCTCAACATCGTGGTCGATGAGGACTTGTTAACAGTACTACCCTGCCCCCCCATAGCAGCGAATGCAATATCTTCGAACGCAGCGTAGTGTTCAACAAGACCATCCAGGTACGAACGAACCTCATCCGCACTCGCGAGCCGAGATGCTGGCTCCATGGTTGTAGCGAAGCACAGGAGAATGATGGACTGCGGCTTGTCAAGTCCCCATTTCAGCTTGAGGAAGTCCTGCATGGCACCTTGGTTGTTGAAACCCGCAGGCAACTTGCTCGACATGAATTTGGAGATTAGCATCGACATCTGCTTACCGGGCTTGCCTGAAAAGCCACCTTGCAGTGCTTCTCCCAGAGCTATCAAAGACATATCTTCAACTCCTTCTGGGACTCGCCCGAATTCCGCAACCAGATCTCCTGTCAATTCATTTTGCAGGGTTGATTTCCCTGGCTAGTTAGCCTCTCACTAGCACAATTGTGGTGCTCTGCACCATACCTCCTGATAGATCTCGGATCGTCTTGGCCATTGGGACCTGGTCGAACGGTCGTCGCAATTTCTGCGCGGTCATGGCAAGAGTAATGTGTCTTGCGCTTAATGTGACATCCTTGCTAGGCGCGTAATGCGTGGGAGCTGTAGCAGATGGCAGTGTTGCCGGGCTTGCTTCGGGAATGGGTGTCTGTCGGATTTGAGCATTTGTACTGGAGGACACTGCGACATTCTCGCGGATGGGCTCCTTTGTAGGAGTTGTTTTCGAATATTCGTACATTATCTCGGCCTTGTCGTCCATGTACGAAAGAAACTGTAAGTGAGCCCATTGAGATGGAGCATGGGAAGTGTGGTGAATGGCCGCTGATTTCCTGGCCATGTTTGCCAGAGTGGTCCTGGGACCAATCTCGATGTAGCGACGGATGGCTGACTTGGCTTTAAGAAGCTCATTCTGCGTCTCGATCCTGGAATGATTTTTAGCTGCTCTGGTGTGTCGATGAAGGTCTCATGGCCAACGTACCAGCGCACTGGGGAAGCCAGTTGATATCTACGTTGTCAGCTTTGGCACAATGCTTTCGTACTCATTCGCCAGGAAAACCTACGAAAGAAGCTCTATGAACAGCCTGTACGCAAGATCATCCCGACCTCGGATGTTGAAAGGGCGAGCGCCGACTGAGCGATCCATGACAGCGTTAAGTGTCACGGCAAAATCTCTGTCGAACAAACACAAGGAGGTGAAATCCACCCGCTAGGGTAACTTGAGCAGTATATAGACTCTAATCGATCGGGCAGAATGGAATAAGGCACCAAGGCAAGTGCAATCGAGAATTCATTATCAGCAAGTCACAATTTCAATATGGCCCGATGACTAAAATTGGCGACAGGTCGACGCGCTCTACTGGAGTCACGGCGCCGCATTCTGAACTACTGAGTCGTGTAGTACGGACCTCCTGTCTTGGCCCTAGGGATAAAAACCTGGAGTTCTCAAACAGTCTCTAATATGTTTCGCAAAGCCTAGCCCGATTCGCATATAGACCCAAAACAAGTCATAAGCTGACGGCATCTGTGTTTAAAAATCGTATTCGGCCAGACGTTCAACAAAACTCCGTCTGCAAAACTCCGGTCGGTCAAAGCCAGTGTCTGTTCCTGAAAGGGGGATGTCAGCCTGATAAAACTCCGGCCTGAGATAGGAGATCCTCCAACGGCGGATGGTGACAAGACAAGGGATCCTTGATGATTGCCCCTGGACCAACCCCCGATTTCTGGTGTGCTTGGACGTTTGTGGTCTGGATGTTAACATGACAGCCCTATCGGATTATATATGCACTCTACGGGATGGGGCTGGATAGGCATTATTAGTCAAGCTGGCCCAATGGACAAATTTCCCATGCACATCCCTTGGGCGGCTGATGTGATGCTATCTCAACCAGCGCCACTCGATATGATACTACTAAATACAGTGAACGAGAACGTGCTTCGCTACGCAGAATGGGAAACCTCGACATGTCTTTGATGGACCAATGTCCAGCCTACCTCAGTTCTAGCTCTTCTGGGATCGTCATGCGTACCTCAATTCCGTCTTCCTCTCCACCTTGCCTGCCTTCGTTTATGACAAGTTCCCGAGCAACAGCTGTTGAGATCTCCCTGATCTGGAAACATCTCGATCTGACGCTGACTGTGCCGTCGTCTCAGTTGCATTATCTTCAGTCACAAAAGGATGCATTCCTTCAGTGGCTAACCTCTAAAGAACCCGAAGACGAGCAGGGACTAGGGTCAGCGCTGGAGCTGTGCCTTAAATATGTCGAGTTCCTCATCCGACAACATTCTCCTCGGTCGGCCCTGGTGGCCGTGCTAAGAGCATTCGAATCTCGATTTTTGCAAGATGACGAAGATATCCACTCCAAGGTTGCCGAGTTGATTCCAGATTCGAAAGGTCGGCAGCTCTATCTGACAGTGTATTATCGCGCCGTTGAATTGTGTGGCAACGGCGAGCTCGAGAACCACATCTTTCCGGCGCGCAATCGGATGAGTGCGTTGTTCCAGCATGCTCAAGCCAACAGAGTTCAATTGATGGCTGTCTTTGGCGGTCAAGGGGAAGCAAGTCGAACCTGTGTACAAGAGCTAATAGACCTTCACGCCACCTACAAGCCAATGCTGCACTCATTCTTCGGCACGGTCGGCGATCTGCTCCACAAGCTTTCGAATCTTCCAGAATGCGTGTCCTACTTTGGCGCGCAGCCTTTAGATCTCCAGGCGTGGGTTAATGACGGCTCGACAATTCCAGGCACCGGTCGGATCGCTCAAGCTCCGATCAGTGTACCAGTAATAGGGGTGCTGAGCCTGGCTCGGTATTGCGTAACATGCCGGCTTTTGGGCCTGAACCCGGGAGAGTTACGCGCGTTGCTTCGAGCCACGACAGGCCATTCACAGGGACTTTTGGTTTCAGCAGTCGTTGCAATGTCGGACACCTGGGAGACCTTCTACGACAATAGCGGGTTGGCAGTGGAAGCACTATTTTGGTTGGGCTGGGAGTGTCATCGAGGTGCACCGTGCACTCTCGCATCGGCGGCACATGCGCTCGGTGACTGTACAGACGACTACAGCATGCCCTCCTACATGCTCAGCGTGCGAGGAATCAGGAGAAACAGGCTCGAGTCAACACTAGCACATATGAACCAAGTCCTTCCTTCACAAGCGCAAGTACATCTGGCGCTGATCAATGCTCGCGATCAGTTCGTAATAGCTGGCCCGTCCACATCCCTAGCTCACCTGCAAAGCTATCTGACGGAGGTTGTTGGTTCTGACAAGGATCAGAGCCGCGTCCCATTCAGCAGCAGAAAGCCTTGGATCCAGTCTAGCTTCTTGCCAATCAGTACACCCTTCCATACGCCGTTCCTCGCTAAAGCTGCTGACGCACTCAAGAAACGATTTTCACGGCACCAGGTGGTATCTGAAGATTTCAAGATCCCTGTATATCACACCCACACTGGTCAAGACCTAAGAGAGCTCAAGGGGAACCTGCTACATAATATTTTCGATGCAATCGCGCGGGAGCCTTGCGATTGGCCTACTGCCTTGACGGGGTCTTTACCATTGTCCAATTATATGCACAGTCCATCTCATATCCTTGTCTTCGATCGAGGCGGGCTGGGTCCATTGGTGAAGAAGATCCAGGAAGGAAGAGGAATCAGGATCATACAGGCTAGTGATCTTGAATCTCGGGATACTGAGATCGGAACGATGCGTGACCTCTTCTCGCCACGTCTCTTAGAAACATCGACAAGAATTCAGAGCTGGAGCCAGCGATATCAACCGCGGTTGGTGAACGGAGGCACAGTCTCTCTTGAGACCCGCCTGAGTCGCCTGCTGGGTTCGCCACCAATCATGGTTGCTGGCATGACTCCGACGACTGTGCATTGGGACTTCGTTGCCTCCATCATGAATGCTGGATATCACGCTGAACTGGCTGGCGGAGGCTATCGAACTAGCTCGGATATGACAACGGCAATTAAGAAGCTGATTGACAATACTCGTCCCGGTCGTGGAGTCACTTGTAACCTCATCTATGCAAACCCCCGAGCAATGGGCTGGCAGATAGCCATGCTACGCCGCCTATCGCACGATCGAATCCCTATTGATGGACTCACGATTGGCGCGGGAGTACCCTCGGCAGAGATCGTTTCCGACTATATCCGCACACTTGGCCTGCGTCATATTAGTTTCAAACCAAGCTCAGTGTCCACGATACGACAGGTCGTAGATATTGCTAGGACACACCCTTACTTTCCCATCATTCTACAGTGGACTGGTGGTCGAGGGGGAGGACATCATTCTTATGAAGATTTCCATGCTCCTATTCTAAGCACATATGGCACCATCCGACAGCAACCCAACATCTACTTAGTTGCCGGTAGCGGTTTTGGGAGCAGCGAAAGCATCTACCCATATCTCTCGGGGCAGTGGTCTGTTTCGCATGGCTACCCTTGTATGCCCTTTGATGGCGTTTTGCTGGGTAGCCGTATGATGGTGGCCCGGGAAGCACACACCTCTCCTGCCGTCAAACAAATTATCACAAACACCACTGGTGTTGCAGATAGCGAATGGGTGAAGACATACTCAGGCACAGCAGGAGGAATTCTCACCGTCCAGTCGGAGATGGGTGAACCTATCCACAAGATCGCCACCCGAGGGGTACGACTCTGGGCGGATATGGATCGAACGGTGTTTAAGCTACCCAGAAAGGATCGTGTCGCGTATTTGACCAAGAATCGAGACTCCATCATTCAACGACTGAACTCGGACTTCGCAAAACCCTGGTTTGGTCGAGATACTCGCGGTGCTGTGGTGGACTTGGAAGACATGACCTACGCTGAAGTACTTCATCGTTTGGTTGATCTGATGTACGTCCGTCATCAAAAGCGATGGATAGATCCATCTTACGTGTGCTTCACCTTGAGCATTGCGACTCGGACTCTGGAGCGCCTGCCGTGTGCTTCGCTTGATCAGCGCGCGGACATATCACACACAGTACTCTCAGAGAACCCAGATCTGTGCCTTCGCTCAATACTTGAAGTGTGTCCTGAAGCTAAAGACGAAGTCCTCAACCCAGAAGATGTCTCATTCTTCCTTTTGGAGAGTCGAAAGCCCAATCAGAAGCCAGTCAACTTCATACCGGCCCTCAATGAAGATTTTGAGTGGTACTTCAAGAAGGACTCCCTCTGGCAGGCAGAAGATATTGAAGCTGTTCCTGACCAAGATCCCGAGCGTGTTTGTATCTTGCACGGACCTGTGGCTGCACAATACTCAGTTGACCGAGATGAATCTGCCCAGGAGATATTGGACGGCATCCTGGGTGGACTTATTGAGCGCTGCCAACGCGACACTTGCCTGGAAGACTCAACTTCCAGCTCCGCTAGTGGACTGGCCACTCCTGACAGTTGGTCATCGATTTCTGGATTAAGAGAGATAGCTGTTGATGACATGTCGATTCCAACGTCTATTTCGACCTCTGAAGCTCTCGACGACCGGTCTGTGCATGTTTCGGCCGCCGGGTTAAGCTTGTCTCGGAGTTTACCTCCATGGATACGCGCGATTTTTGGGGATCCCGTGCTGCTACAGAACAGACGCCGACAGCGCAACCCATTTCAGCATTTCATCGCAGCGAACCCCGATGCAATCTTCCATTATGACCCAGACCGAGGAGAGATATCAGTCTGTGTCCAGGATGCATGCCGGGTAACCTCCTCCATGAAGCTTTCGAGCCCGAACGGCGTGAACATTGTTCTGGAACTTTTCCCCCCTCAGGTACTCGAACCACTGAGGCTATTTTATCGATTTGATCCCAGCAGCATCCCTTTCAGTCTTAGTGAAATCATGAACGAAAGGAGTACACGAGTCAAATCATTCTACAGCCGCCTTTGGTTCGGGGAAGATGTGTCGACAAGTGGTAGTATTCATGATAAATTCTACGGGAAGGAGATGACGCTCACCGAGCAAGTGCTCCAGGACATGATCGCGGCTGTTGGCCAGGCCTTCCCAGATCAAAGACTTATCTTCCTCGATTCAGATGTCCTGCCCATCAGCATCGGAATTGTCATAGCTTGGGATGTTTTAACAAAGCCTTTGGTGCTCCAGGACGTTGGCGATGACCTGCTGCGGCTGGTTCACCGGTCGAACGCGTTCGAATACTGCCCTAATACGGCAATGCTAAGTGTTGGCGATGTTGTCCGTTCACAGTCACAGGTCCGAGCTATCTATGTTGAAGATGCTGGTATGGTTGTTGTTGTGGAAGCCCAGATTATGCGCTCGGGCAAACCGGTTCTCACGGTGACATCGACGTTCCTATTTCGAGGGACCTTCGAAGGGGAGAGGGAACTCTTCAGACGCATTAGAGAGCCGGAACGCAAGCTTCATCTCGGATCTGAGCTGAATGAGACTGTTCTTCGACGACGGGAATGGTTCTACGTCGACGATGAGACGATTTCACTGATTGGGAAGACTCTTCTTTTCACGCTGGAAACCCATACCATGCACAAAGAGGGCGGTTTGAAGGGACTGCAAGTAACGGGAACTGCCAGAGCGCAGCTCGGAGGGTACTTGTGGAAGGAGGTAGGGACGGTGAATTACAGCTGCGATGACTGTGTCGGCAACCCGGTACTTGAGTTCCTGGACCGCAAAGGTAGTCTGGCTTCTCCGGAGGTTGAACTTAAGAATTCGGGATGGTCAAGTTTGTCGTCTATTGAAGTACAGATGCCACCGAGCAACCAGCCATACGCCAACGTGTCGAAGGACTTCAACCCAATCCACGTGTCAAGTATATTTGCTTCTGTGGCCGACTTCCCCGGCACTCTGTCGCACGGTATGTGTACTTCCGCAGTCACAGCGGCGGCCTTCGAGCACCTTGCGCTCCACGGCGATCGACGCCGGCTTCAGTCATTCACGGCAAGCTTTACTGGCATGGTCATGCCCCTCGAAAGGCTGGTCGTCCAAATCCGGCATACCGCGATGGTTGAGGGACGCATGCGCTTCGCGATTGATGTCATGCGCAAGGACAGTGGAGAAAAGGTTCTTGAAGGTAGCGCTGTTGTGGATCAGCCGGCTACGGCGTACCTGTTCACGGGTCAGGGTAGCCAGAGCAAGGGCATGGGAATGGACCTCTACGAGTCCAGTCCAGTGGCGAAAGCTTTGTGGGACGAGATCGATATTCAGCTCTACGACTCATACGGTAGGCTCTCTGCGTGTATTGAATGGATCGGACGTTTCTGACGATGACAGGCTGGTCCGTGCTGGACATTGTACGCAACAATCCCAAGTCAATCACTGTTCATTTCGGTGGCAAACGAGGCCGGAAGATCAGACAGAATTACTTGTCCATTACCACCGAGACGGTCCTGCCGGATAATACACGCATCGAGACGCCTGCCCTACCGGGTCTCACCTCTCGATCCACATCTTATACATTCACCGACCCGAAAGGCTTACTATACTCCACTCAGTTTGCCCAGCCGGCGATTCTGCTATTTGAGGTAGCCGTGATTGCTGACCTGCGCAGCAAGGGTTATGTCTCGCCCGGTGCATTGTATGCCGGTCATTCTCTGGGCGAATACGGCGCATTGTCGGCTCTGTCGCAGTCGATTCCGATGGGTGCACTGGCTGAGTTGTCATTCTACCGGGGCCTGATGATGCAGGCATCTGTGGCGCGGGGAGAACAGGGAGCGGCGTATGGGATGACGGCAGTGAATCCCAAGCGGGTAGGAAAGTGTAAGTATCATGCGATTTGCGGACGATAGAACATTTGCTGATTACTGGCAGTCTTCAACGATATTGCTCTGGGACGGCTGGTTGAGGCGATTGCTGTGGTGAGCCACGAGCTACTGGAGATTGTCAATCACAACGTTAAGGGGGAGCAATACGTGTGTTCAGGCACGGTAGGTCTTCACGTCTACTACTTCCGACGAAATTTGCTCTCTTAAGTTTGGATCATTACTGACTTGACTAGGACACAAACATGTGGGTGCTTGGGAAGGTCCTTGATGGACTGTCACAGTCGCCCAACGGACCTGATCAGATTCAGGAGATGATGGGAAACTCAACGGGGACGAGGGCGATCGATACAACGATTAAAGATCTACTGGCTGCGGCACACGGTCTTCGCAAGCCAATTCAGCTACAACGGGGGACAGCCAGCATTCCTTTGCAGGGTATTGATGTTCCTTTCCATTCCAGCCACCTGAAATCGACGGTCGATCGGTTCCGACAGTGTCTGCTCAAGCCCGGTTTCCTGGAGGGCAACGTAAACATGGCCGAGTTGGAGGGGCGGTACATCCCCAATGTCATGGCGAAGCCGTTCTCGGTGAACGAGGAATATGTTCGGGAGGCGTACGCCTTGACGCAGAGTCCGATCCTGGGGGAGATTCTGGGGGTTTACGGCATAGATTAGAAGCGCGGAATAGATTGAGCTTGCGCATATAGCTTGCATTTTGTTGAAACATAGCGAAATGAGTTCAAATGAATTGACAGACAGATAATCTGAGATTACCGCACATTGTTCAACCGTGCTAGAAGAATTGGCCACAGTACTTGACATCATCAACAGAACTACACCCTCGTATTCCCTTTCCCAATAACCCATTTCCCATTTCCCATTCCTCTCCAAAACCCAAACACAACCCCCCCCCCCTCAAAAACAAGAATACCCCCACGTCCCGCGCCAATACTGGCCCTGCACCTCGCCGACCATCCCCTCGACATCCAACCCCCACACCGTCATCGTCCGCCGCCGGATCTCCTCAAACACCCGGCCCATCATCCCCGTCTCCGCCGTCACCTCCCCACCGGCCCCCTCCTGCCCCTCGAACAGCTCCCACTCGTACGCCCGACACACCTCCCGACTACTCCGCATAACCCACTGCGACCGCTTATACCGCACATCCGAGTACGCCTTGAACGCCACCTCCAGCGCCTGCGGCGTCGTCAGCTTGCCCGAGAGGATGTCGGCCTCCGCGCACGTCAGGGCGGTAACTAGCGCTAGGGCGTCCTCCACCCCCACCCCCGCCCCGGCCCCGTGGTGCGGGGATGCGGCGTGCGCCGCGTCGCCGACGAGGCAGACGCGGGAGATCACGTAGGTGGGTGGCGGGTGGTTGTAGAGGTCGAAGATCGGCCATTGGGTTAGTGTGGGTGGTAAGAGGGTGAGGAGGGTGCGGAGGAAGGGGGTCCAGTCTTTGAAGGTGTGAAGGAGGTGGGCTTTGGGGGTTGTGGGGGTGGGTGGCCTTTGTGGGGTTGAGGGGGAGGGGGATAGGGATGAGGAGGGGTCTGATGGTGGGTTTGTGGTGCAGGTGCTGCTGGTTGGGGCTGGTCTGGTGCCGTCTGGGGTGGTGGTGCGGCTGGTTTCCGGGGTGTTGATTGTTGTGGTGCTCGGGGTTGTGTCTGCTGTTGTGTTGCAGGTATCACTTTTGGATTCGGGGGGGTTGAGGTTGGGGGTGGGGGTGTTGGTTGGTGTGCTGGGGCTGGGGCTTTTGCTTCTGGTTGTGGTTGTGGTGGTTGTTGTGGTGATGGTTTCCTCGATTGGGGTGGCAGTGGTGGTGGCTGCGCCGGTGAAGCTCGACACGTCCCAGTCATTGGGGTCCGGGACAAACGCGACCACATTCAGCAGCTTCTGGTTGGCGACGGGGAAGTGCAGGACGTGGGCGTGAGGCCCGCAGTGCATGTGCTGGAGGAGGGCGCGGTGGCGGCCCAGATGGGCGATGGCCTGGTCCATCGGGATGAGGCCGCGGTAGGCGAGCTGGTGCGCGTAGCGGGGCCGGTGGTCGGCGTTGGGGAACATGAGGTCGCGCACGCGCGATTTGATGCCGTCGCAGCCGATGACTGTGGTGGTTGTTAGCTTTTGTGTTGGGTGGTGAGGTGAGGTTAGGGCTTTTGGTTCGGGTGGAACTCACCTCCATCGACCTCCCTCACACTCCCATCCCCAAACACCAGCTGGATCCTCCCAGACTCCAGATACTCGTACCTCTCCAGCCGTTTGCCGAACTGCACCACCCTCTCGGGCATCAGCTTCATGATCTCCTCCAGGAACTGCGCGCGGTGGCACCCTTCGAACCCCCGTGGCCCCGCATACAGCTTGTAGACCTTCCCCTCGATGCCCACGGGCTGGTCGTTGTCGTCGTCCACGTACGTGTGGTAGCCGTCCACGAACCGCATGTTGTAGTCCGGGTCGTCGGGCTCGCCGTTCTCCGTCGCCACGGCGCGCAGACACTCGTCCAGCCGCGGGTCCAGCCGCATCATACAGTGGCGCGCCGCCCGCGTGAAGCCGATCCCCGCGCCCAGCTCGCGATGGCACGCCGCCTGCTCGTAGACCTGGATGCGGAGGTGCGGGGAGTCGCGGTTCAGGAGGCCCAGCGCGAGCAGCGTGCCGATGAGGCCGCTGCCGATGATGGCGATTTCGATGGTCATTGTGGTTGAGGCTGTGGACTGTACGTGTACGTGTACGTGTACGTGTACGTGTACTGGGGAGGGACAATGCACAGGTCTAGTTGTGGTGACTGTGGGAGAGCGAGTATACAACTTCAAACTACAATATGATATGTTACCACGGGCACGAAAGGGAGAGTATAGTACTTGGAGGTGGCCTACGCCAGGCACTGCACAGAGTACATACGTCCGAGGTTGACTCACCCTCACTCAGACATTCACTCACTTACTCAGTGTACACACCACACCGCACCGCAATAAAACCTAACCAACTACCTACGCTCCAGCTTCGCTTTGCCTCGCTTCGCATCAGGCTGCAGAACGCCCAAGGCAGGGCTACGTAGTCATGCTCTGTCACTCAGTCCAGACGAATGTCAACAAACAAACGAACAGCGGGGGAGTCGCCCGTCTACCCTTTGGGTCCTCAAACAACAAACGCATGTTTTGCTTCTCCTTTCTATGACGACTGGCTGTACTACATTGACAGCGCAAACGCAATTTCTTTTCTGCCAGTCACCGTCAAAACCCATGCGGACAAACCAGCAGGGCCTCACAATCCGGCTTGAACGGATCCGCATGTCGTGGTTTTCCGCGCGCGTCACGTCACCTCCCCCTCAAACCCAATCTTCTAGGTGGTGGAGCTTGGGCTACGAGGTTGAGTGGTACAGTATACAGCAGGTAGAGGTAGGGGGGGGTGGGGGCGGATAACTACCGAAGGGCTCAAATATCTCTCCTATTTCTTGCCCTTTCCCAGCCCCCAGGCCGCCTCGTTGTCGAGTTTGAAGTGCTGGGGTTGGGAAGCTGTAAGCTGTCTCTGGATAACTCGCACTCTCGACCGAGAACCTCATCCCATCTTACGACCTACCAGTCCAAACGGCAAGAAATCGAAGTAGCAGAGGATCACCAGAACACACGTCCGCAAGAAGAAGAAGAAGAAAAGGAAGCCAGGCAAGTAGGCAGAGGAGAGGTTAAACACCTCCCGTAGTACAGCATCTACTTCCCGTGTAACCAGCCACCAAGCAAGAGCAAAAAACACAGGATATATCTCCGAAGCAGCAGGAAAACCCGTGTTACCGTCTTTAGTTGGTGCGTAGTTAGCGTCTGTCGTACCCAACGGATCAGAATCTCGAGAAGTTACGACCAAGGCACATCAGGGACCAGGTTTCGGCAGTCCCGTTTGGCCTTTCTTTTCTGTTTTTTTTTTTTTTTTTTTTTTTTTTGACTTGGGTAGGGCGTTAGTGTATCGGATGAAAGCAGGGGTCTGGTGGAACGAATCGGAGGGTAGGGGGAGGGCTACACAGGCAAGGGAGCAAGAGCGCGTCTTGTTGCTAAATTTACGGTAGGTTGCTGGGCGGGCCGGTGGAGCGGTCATTCCTTTACTGTTGGGTTGCTCAAGGGGTCTGTCTGTCTTGCTGTCCGATGGGGCTGGGTGGTTGTGGACAGATTTGGGCGGCAGGGTTGGAAATTGGACTTAGATCGTGGGAAAATCTCCGAGGATTTGCGGCGGATCTTGGGCCGGGCCGGCTGGTTTGATGACTGGCGTCTGGGGAGGGTTTTGGTTTTAGAATTATGGGGGGGCGTGAGGGGGGGTTTGGGCTGGATTGGGATGGATCTGATCTGAAGCTGGGTGGGTTGGAGACTAGGGATGGGTGTCGTTGTAGTCAGATCTGACGAGGGATAAGGGCTTGATGTTAATTTGTGGGCTGTTGAGGAGAGGATTGTGAGTTGGGAAGTGGCGATATTGAGGGTTGAGGTTGCTATTTTGAGGACAGGACGTGGAGGTGGTTTCTCTAGAGGGAGACGTTCAAATAGCCGTGTTGGGGGGCGATATGAATAATGTCATTCACGACGTATAGGAGATGGTGACTTAGAAAGACCAGAATATAGCTGAGCATAATGTTGAAATCATAGTATCTATTCAATGAGCAGCGTGATATGGACTATGCAGTCTCTCATCGTAGCATATCACAGTGCCAGTTAGATTTGTGATGGCTTCAGATGTTATGACACTGGGAGAAGTACTGATGAATGAACTCAATAACTACTACTGATCGGGTGGAACTGTAGCAGGCAGCCCGAAACTGATCTCATTCTGGTTTACTTGAACTACTTAACATCGACTCGTGGCTTCATCGCTCATCGCTCATCGCTCATCGCTCATATCCCATAATTCCTGCGCTGAATACGCGCAACCTGGTTGATCCGCATCATCCTCATGGATCAACCAATATAACGCACCACCTCATTCCACTCGTCGTCTGCCTTGAGCAACGCCCAGTCCCGCTCACTCAGGCACAACAACGCCTCCCACCCTCCCTCCTCATCCCCCTCGTCGATCACCGGCGCGACATAGCACGCACACGGCAAGGGGATCTCAAACGAGGGCCGCCGGATCGCATGCGGCTTCCCCAGCGGCCCAAACACCGGCACCGCGACGTGGGCCATGCTCGAGCACGAGAAGTCCGTCAACGGGTTGAAGGCGCCCCCGTACGCGACCTTGCTCTTATCCTCCTCGTTGGCCAGGAATGTCGCGTAGCTGCGCGTGGCGTGCACGTTGTGCAGTGACCTGGTGTGTCTCCGTAGCCTGACGGCCAGATCATACAGCGGCAGCGAGGCGATCTCCGTGAGGGGCAGACGCAGGTTGGCCGTGCGCACCATGTGGCCCATGTAGTAGGGTGAGAGGTTGATGGTGCGCCGGAGGTCCAGCGCGCGGGTGATTTTGGAGGTGGACGCTTGTAGGAAGGGGGGCAGGTGCGGGAGGCGCAGAGTGATGAGCCGTTGCCACAGGAATGCGGTCAGGGCGTCGTTGGGGGTGATCTTCTCCTTCTCTTGGTCGGTGGATGTCGACTCGACTGGTGCGGGCGGCGCAGCCTTCTGGTGGATCTTGGTCATGGACGTCTCGCTGAATCGCACCGCCCGCCATTTGAAGGTTGCCATGTAGGCTTGCATCTCCGGTGTGATCGGGCCCGACGACAGTCCGGGAACAATCGCCGGCTTCAGCTCGCTGTGATCGTCCATGGGCTCGTCGTCTTTGAGCAGAGGGATGAGGGTGCATCGGTCGATGTTGCCCTCGCGCATGGCTTGCTCCGGGAACGGCTCGTCGCGGAGACGGTATGCCAGCAGGTTGATGATCTGGAACATCCCGTTCCCATCGATGATGTTGTGCTGGGCCGCGATGGCCAGAATCAGGCCGCCCTCGATCCAGTTAAGCTGGAAGTCCAGCACGGGCGCTGGGTTCGTCTCGTTGTCGTCGTCGAGATAGGGCTGCGGAAAGGCCGGGCGAGGAGGGGCCAGCACAGTCGGCAGCGAGGTGGTCGGCCACCCCGTCGCACGCAACTCGGCAAGCGATGCGACCTCGTGCGTCCGATCCTCCACCCGCAGGAACTTATGATCGGGTGCCTGCCATGGGATGTGAGGACGCACGATGAAGGCGCCCGAGCAAGATGGCGTTTGGCCCTCGCGGACGACTTTGCCGCCGAGGAAGGGGAAGCCGGCGATGAGTTGGTGGATGGCCGACTCCAGGGCTGTCTCGATCTGATGGCGTGCTACATCGTTCGCGAGTGGGAAGATGAGGAGCATGTGAGAGTAGGATTTCAGTAAGGGCAATTGGCCCAGGATGTCTTGGGTGTGGTCATAGTCCATGATGGTTGTGGTGGTGGTGGTGGTGGAGGTGATGAGGAACGAGTCTGGCGTGGTTTACCCTGGGGTTACAAGGGCTACGGAAGACTACGTTATTGGGAGAGAGACAACTACTATAATATATACTGTACGGCGTACTTTCTTAGACAGAAACCACCCACTGCTGGCAGGTCTCACAGCAGTGTGCCACATTTTGAACTGGGCCCTGCGCAGTCTTTGTATCTTGACTACATGTGCTCTTCTAATCTGGTGTCATCATCAGAAACCTCAACCCCTAATAATAACTAACACCTTAACATCGGTCAATATTACTCATGCTGCTGCTGCTCATAATATTGGCGCCAGGATCGGCCCGGCGGAAATGGGGCATTTCAATAGCGGCTGTCGATCGCAGGGCCCTTCACTGCACGCGATCGATCTCGGCCCGATGAACACGAGATTCGGCCGATTTCTGGGGATTCTTGTGATCAATAAATCGGATTCTGCACTCTTCTGTTGACTTCTGTTGTCTTTGGGCTTGCTGGGATGGAGGATTTGTGTGGTTGTGTGGTTGTGGTGTGTTTCTTTTCTTTTTTTTCCTTGTATTTTTCCATTTTGCAGTGCAAGTCGGCCATTTCTGCCCTAATTTTGCCCCCTCGTCGATTCGTCAACAAAGCCCCTTCCCTCCCCGTCCCTTGACTGGCTGTGCATATTGCAGTCCCACCTGCTCCAAATTCAGGCTAATTCCTAGCAACTCAGTTCATCCCCCCTCTTTTCCTTCAGATCTCGGCTCTGATCGCATGCACGGGCGCTACATACTGTCTGAGCGTGGAATCTAAGGCCAGCCCGATCTGCCATTCACTAGTCCATCTCTCGCATTCACCTTGTTGTTGTTTGAAGGTCACACTTCCACTTATGTTGGGTTGAACCGTCCCTCACAGCTGCGATGCAGGACAAGTTGACATCTGCCGTGAGAGGTCTTTAGCAGGTTGGCTGTTTGCTTGCCTCCTTATCATTTGCCACTGCCGCTGCCACTACTGCAGTGTATGCAGAGATGCAGATGTACCTCTCTCTCTCCTCCCCCATTGTTCCTCTACTCTACTGTACATGTACATACCTTCAGGGGGGCGTCCAGACCCACCAAAACAATAGGCCTCCGTGAGATCTTAGCCTACAGACCCTCTGCAGGGTTGATCCTGCTTTACTGCCAGCTGCAAGACTTGCGATCGGTCGTATTTGCTTATTCGGTCCCTCAAACTTGCTTATTCGCCTCAAGACGCACCGATGTCCTCAATTGGATGCTGTGACTCGGTGGCTGGCTGAGAGGCGTCGACGTGATCACGTTCATCAAATCGAGAGCAATGGCACTGTTCATTTAGTGGACCCTAAGAGATCGTGGAGGTCAAGATGATTGCGGTTCATGCCTTTCCCATCGCTGTCAAGCGCCGATAGTGAGTAATAGTGGCTCAACAAAGGCTTGTCCAACTCTCATCTATACCTCTCCCCACCATCGCCCCTGATGTGTCTCCAGGATCAGCTGCAGCCTGCAGAGTGCAGGGCTGCTCTAGCTCTCTCGACTTGCCCTTCTGGTCAGAAAGGCCTCGTTCAAATAACAACAGAACCAGTCAGCGAGCGCGCTACCCACTGCGATCTGCATCCTGCAGGGCAGTCATCACATTGCACTAGCTAGAACGTGTTCCTTCAGGACGCACGTCGAGTCACCATTTAGGTCCGTATGGATCGACCGCCACACCCTTTCCGACTGGCTCGTCGGCGCTGACTGTGTGGATGAGCTTAATACCCCCAAAAAGCAAGCACGAGTAGCCCGGATGGGGTCCTCTTCCTCGGTATCGGACTGGCTCCTCGACTCACTGGTTCGTCCTGTCTAGTCCGACTAGTGTTGGTGCGTGCGGTCGATCCATTGCTTTGGTATCTTATCACGACCCCACTAGTCATCGGCTGGAGCAAAGAGAAGCCTGCATCGACGCACCTTCTCATAGTCGACCGGGCTCGGTTATAAGTCGAGAAACCAAGCGCTGCGGAGGTCGCTCTCATTTCGTCAGAGCAACCATCAGTGGATCTGGAACTGGTCTACGGGTCTACACTTCATCAGCCCCGACATGGTCACGTCGACGCCTACAATCTCTAGACAACGCCCTGGCTCGGCCTGTGAGGAGTGTCGACGGCGAAAAGTGCGCTGTGACCGTCGTCGGCCTCAGTGTCAGGTGTGTTTCGAGACGGGGATCGAGTGCAAGATCAACACCACCAGATTGCCCCGGGGACCTCGAAAGGGCCAGTTGCGTACGCTGCGGACAAGAATCGGTACAGCGCCTTTCATACTCAGTGGATGTGAATTGACGACTGACGCAAAACAGCTGCTCTAGAGCGCTGCCTCGCAGATCAGCATCCCGAGATCAATCACCAGATGGCGAGTCTGTTTGACGGCACGGTACTTGACTGTGACTCGGAGGATGATCCCTTCCGGGACCTCACTTCACTGTCTGATTCAATCCCGGTCTCAGTGCCTTTTTCGGCTCTCCCTGACCCAGTCTTGGCCCCGGTGGAGGAGCTGGAGACGCGCGAGAGAGATGCTCATCCCACTATCTCATCTACCAAGATCCAGTCGCCAAGGACCCCAGAGTCGTTACCACGGTCGACAGGCCTGGTTTCGGAGCTGATGCGAGCTGAACTGTACGCTGTTGATTTTGATCCTAGGAAGACTTTGCAACTCTAACCTATCGGCAGTGACCAACTGTATTTCGATCGGGTTCACCCGTTTGCGCCTATCCTCCAGCGCTGGCGCTATCACGTCTGGGCTCGCCAACCTAAGAAGTCCGACAGCCAGGTCTGTTTACAATACGCCATGTGGACGGTGGCAGCCTCTCTGTCTGCCCAGTTTCAGGCACTACGGGATCAGCTGTACACCGAGACGCGAAGGATTCTCGATTCCTTAGATCGACCAGATAGTATAACAATGGTCGCCGGGCTGGAACAGGCTCAGGCATGGATTCTAATCGGGCTCTACGAGTACATGCAACGGTCGGCTCTCCAGGCCTGGATGAGCATAGGAAGATGCTGCCGACTGGTACTAGGAATGCGGCTCTATGAGCTGGACGATTCCACCAACCCGGTGACGATGGCACGGGAACAGGAAGCTATATTGGTGGACTGGATCGGGCTGGAGGAGCAGCGCCGGACTTTCTGGATGGCGTATTCGCTGGATCGATTTATCGGTTTCCACAACGGGCTGCCGTTTACTCTGCATGAACCCGTGGTTCGTTTTCCCCGTACCTCCAGTCCATATCGAGCCCACGCAGGCTGCTAACCCTGGATTATTACCACCAGATCACCACGCGGCTGCCCAGCCCGGAAGAGGAGTTCCAATGCGGGCAACCAACCCTAACGCCATACCTACGCGAAGTGATGAGCCAGCATCCTCACCTTCACCACCCAGTCCAACCCAATCTATACCAATACCCCCATCTGCATGTTCAGCAACAGCAACATCACCCCCACATCTACGCGATCCCTCATTCCCCGACCTCCCCAACCCACCTGACAATGGCCTTCCCCCCCGTGGCAGTGGCAACCCCCACCAACCCCACAGCAACAACAACCCCCGTCCTCAACCCCGACCTCAATAGCCAAGTCACCTATTCAAACTCAAGCTTCACCGAATTCATCCTCCTCGCCACGATCGTCGGTCGCGCCCTCTCGCACCGCCAAGCGCTGGTGGTAGAGCAACCCTTCCAACCATTCCACCACCCGCCCCTGTCCCCGACAAGCCCCCACACCCCGCTCCCCAACTCGCTCGAAACCTTCTGGAACCGCCACCACGCCCTCCACGCCTTCCTCAGCGCCCGCATCCAGTCTCTGTCGTCCAATCCCCAGGCTCTAGACGACCCATTGATCATGTTCGCGCGCATCGTCGCGCAGAGCATGGTACTGTTCCTGCACAACGTCCTCGAGTCCGTCGCATGGAAGTCCGGCGGCGATCAACTGCTCGGCATCATCGAGGACGAGCGGCTCTGTGTGCTCGCCGCACACGAGGTCGTCGGCCTGGTCAAGGTGCAAGGCCAGTTGGGGTATTTTAAGGTTAGTTGTGCCCCTTGTTTTTGCGTGTGGTGTCGTTGTCGTATCACCTTAGCCTTGAGCTGGGTCTGTTGGCCACCCCTGCATTATCATCTGTCTCTTCCTCAAACCACGCAGTGAGAAATGTTCCTCCTGGAGATGATTCATTGCATCGCAGCCACACTCCACCCAAAACCCCACGCAGAGCAGAAACCCTGTAACCGCACCGATGCTAACATCCCTCCCCGTAAAGGTCCACCCCCTCACCCCCATCCCGCTGATGATGTGCACCGAGTTCCTGACGGCGCATGCGTACCTGGACCCCTCGTTCGAGGTCATGCTGCACGAGCTGTTGGAATGCCTGGGCGATCTGGAGCGAGTCAAGAACCCCGTGCAGAGCCCGACCCTGTCCGTGGTGGTTTAAAGCATCGTCGCGGGATTCTCGTTCAACGAGAACTGCAATCCTGCTGCGGGATCATTTTCGGTGTTTGGTCGGGTGTTTTTTTGCTTGAGTGATGATTTGCTTGGGAAAGCTTACAGCTTGTGGTTGTTGGTGGTGCTGGCTGGCGGGGAGATGGTCGAGGCGGTTGTTGATGAATTGAGGGCATGGTTTATTAGCTGTGTGCTTTCTCGTGATTCTTTTATTGCGCTCGATTCAGTTTGATTCAGCTTTATTTTCCTGTGCAGGCTCATAGGATCCAATGCTGCTGCTGCTGCTGCTGCTGGGTGGTGGTGTGTTTTGTTTTGTTGTGTTTTGTTGCCCATCGGATGGCAGGATGTTTGTTGTATTCAAGGCACTGGCACTGGCACTGGCACTGGCACTGGCCACGAGGATGCATGGAGGGGAGCGAGCAGCGAGCTTGCTTGCTTATAAGATACAGTTCAACCTAATATAATGGCATCATAACCTCGTGTATGTGCATAAAACAAAATTCGGGTTATCTCCTATCTCCATGAACTCCCTTTCGCCATTGATCACTACAAGAATCAGACAACCAACCCCCTTCCCCCAAACTCCGCTGCTTATCCCCGGGCTGCTATCAACTCCAACTCCGAAAAGCCTCTTTCGTCTCTCCCAACGGACGGCGATTAGGAAACTACGTTCTGCTGCAACTGCAACCGAAAAGAGATAAACCAAACAAAAAAACAAAAAAACCAGACACCCGTCGATTCGTCTTTTTTCTTGTTTCCGGTCTGGTCGTCTCTCCCTGAGGAGTACGTAAGCTTTACGCTGGAGCCAATTTTCATCAGCCCGAAAGTGAGGACTGGGATGGCGCGGACGGGTTATGAAACTGGCGACCAGATCTATTGTGCAACCTTGTCGGTCCCCTTCTAGTCTGGACTGGATGGATGGATCTGACAGCCAGCTAGCCCGAGAAGATACACCGAGGAATAAACTCCGGCCGTTGTGTCTTCATTTTCGCGAGCTGTCTGTCGTTCTTGATCCTGTCTGGTTATTTCAGTTGAGGCCGGCAGTTTCCTGTCTGGCTGGTTTCGCTGTTTCGGGGACACGGTTGGGGGGGATCTTCCACCACTCGCTGCTGCTCCTGTGGATCTAAGAATAGGGTGATTTCCCCAGCAGAAGAAGGAAGCATAGGAATTGTTCCGAGATGATCAGGTGTTGGATCGTTCCCCCGTAGTGTATGTAGTCGAGGTAAGCTAGAAAGAAAAGCAATGTATACTGCGCCTGAATATGCATACTTGTCAGCAACGGGGGTCTGATCATCCCATTCTCTGTTAGCATGCGCTGGTTGAAGGGAAAGTTTAGGTAGCCAGTTTCATGGGTTGGGTCTCGGTTTCCCGTTCCCTGTGTCTTCACAGGGCTGGGTGTAACTCTACCCACCTGTTTTCTTGCACGGTTGAGTATCGTATATGCCCGACGGACTGGGTTGGGAGGCAAAGGCCGTGGGTTCGTGGGACTGACTGTGCACACATACAACGGTGACTCTACTGTCTCTCTCTTTCTTTCTCTCTCACTGTCTTTCGGTTACGGTTCTTGCCGATGGATTTGTGCATTAAAACCTGGCCGCTCTCTGTTTTCTTTCTTGTTGTCTGTGTGGATCTGTGACTTTTTCCTTGGATTGATCGATAGCAACCCTACGGGTCTCTCGTTTGTGATTCTCTCCCCGGATATAGCAATTCTTTAATCCCGCGTGTTCATTATCGCTTGAGCGGGAAAGCAAGTCTCTGGGGTTTAGACGTTGTGAGTGCCGGCTCGTTGGTGTGTTTGTGTGGGAAAGGTTTGTTTGCCTGCTTCTTACCTCATCCGCAGTTGTTGGTCATTCCCTTCCGGGGATTGGTTTGCATCGATCCATATCCAGTAAATAAATACTTGCGACTTTTGTGGACCTGGTCTGGGGTTGTTGACGTTGCGTGTGTGCTGGGGTGTCCTTTTGCTCGTCTGTTTGCTTGCCTGCTTGGTTTGTGATTTGTGAGTGGCAAACATACACCCAAAACTCATGGCCAGTCAATTATCACCTCCGCCAGGAGGCAAGACGGTGCTGCTATTCGGTTGCCAGGCCGTGCAGTTCGACGCCAACGACTTCCAGCAGCTGCGGCGCGTCATTCTGGACACGCCCGACAACCACTGGGTGCTGGACGTCCTGGCAGAGCTGCCCGTCTACTGGCGCACCGCCGCCACCAAGTACCTGCCGAAGCTGCAGGCGCTGCCGGGTGAGCAGCAGCTGCGCGACCTGAACCAGTGGATCCGCACCGGCAAAGTCGCCGACCGCCACTTCCCGCTGCCCTACCTGCAGCATGCCCCGCTGCTGATGATCACCCACCTGCTGCAGTTCGCGCGCTACCTGCAGCTGACGCACCCGGATTACGCGGCTCACGGCGTTGTTGACGCCGAGACGAGCACCGTCGTGGAGATCGTGGGGTTCTCCTTTGGCTTTCTCAGCGCCGCAGTCGCTTCGACCGTCACAAATCAGAGCCAGTTGCGAGAGTATGGGGCCGTGGGAATTCGGTTGGCGACCCTGCTGGGCGCGCTCGGCGATGAACAGGAGAGCCGCGAGAAGTATACCTCGCTGTCGACCGTGTGGAAGAAACCCGAGTTGGAGGGGGAGCTGGTTCGAGTGCTGGAGCAGCATCCGGAGGTAAGTTGGCTGATCTTGTGGGAGACTGACTAGCACGATAGCGCTAATGCCTCGTTCGTCAGGCGTATATCACGGTTCGATATGATACGAACCGCGCGACTATCATGACGCCACGGAAGGGGCTGGGCCGGCTGCAGCAAGCGCTCCAGACAGCCGGATTTTCCGCATACCACATCAACTTCAACGGACGCTATCATTGGCCGGGGCATCAGAAACTATTGCATACGCTTGAGCAGATGTGTGAGGCGGATCCCGCGTTACAGCTGCCAGATGCATCGCAGTTGCCACGGCACACATGGACCAACATCACCAATGAGCCCATCTACGAGGGTCCACTGCACCAGGTGGTTCTGCGCTCCATATTGGCCCAGCAGTGTCAATGGAGTCCCACGTTTGCGGCTGTGCATCGGGCCCAACTTGAAAACACGCAGTCGATCGTGGTGGAGTTTGGCTCTGAGCGCTGCGTTCCCCCGACATTCATGCGCACGCTCGGTAGCCGCGTGGTGCACTATATGGACTTGAACCTGGACTTCCAGTCGCGCGTCTCGCCACTTCAGTCGACCCCGACGATATATGATGACGACATTGCCGTGGTGGGCATGGCTTGCCGGGTCGCTGGTGCCGACGATCTCGAGGAGTTCTGGAAGCTCTTGTGCGCGGGCGAATCGCAGCACCGGGAGCTGCCGCCGGAACGGTACAAAGACTATGAGACCCCGTGGAGGCCAGGCGCGATTCGCCCTTGGTGGGGCAACTTTGTCAACGACATCGATGCCTTCGATCACAAGTTCTTCAAGAAGGTGCCGAGGGAGGTCATGTCCCAGGATCCACAGCAACGGTTGTTTCTGCAGGTCGCATACCAGGCTCTCCAGCAGGCGGGCTACTTCCACAAGAAGGATGCTACCAAGGACATCGGGTGCTATGTCACCTGTTGTACCGTGGACTATGAGCATAACGTCAATTGCCATCCGGCTACGGCCTATGCTGCCACGGGTCTGTTGCGGAGCTTCATGGCTGGTAAGGTGAGCCATTACTTCGGATGGCGCGGGCCGGCGCTGTGCATTGACACCGCATGTTCGGGCTCCGCCGTTGCGCTGCACCACGCCTGCAGGGCCATCCTCAATGGTGACTGCAAAGCTGCGCTGGTTGGGGGCGCCAATGCTCTCACGAGTCCGCTGGCATTTGATAATTTGAACGGAGCGTCATTTGTCTCCCCCACCGGACCTTGCAAGCCGTTCGATGCAAAGGCCGATGGCTATTGCCGCGGCGAGGGCTTTGCAGCGATCTTCATCAAGAAGATGTCCGACGCGTTGGCTGATGGTGACACAATCCTGGGCACCATCGCTGGCACCGCGGTGGAGCAGAATGACAACTGCACCCCGGTGGTGGTCCCTCATGCGCCGTCGCTGGCAGGCTTGTTTGACAAGGTCATTCGTCAGGCCCACATCCGCCCGCATGAAATATCGGTTGTCGAGGCTCATGGCACCGGAACACAAGCGGGTGACCCGGCCGAATATAGCAGCGTGAGACAGGTAATGGGTGGTCCACAACGAGCAGTCCCCCTGACGCTGGGGTCAGTCAAAGGGCTGGTTGGACATACGGAAAGTGTCTCTGGCATGGTAGCGCTGGTCAAGGTACTCCTGATGATTCACGAAGGAAAGCTCCCGCCCCAACCGAACTTCCACAACTTGAACCCACACATCCAGGCGGCTGCCGACGATCAGATCGAGATCACCACCCAGTTAAAGCCATGGCAAGCGGATTTTCGCGCAGCACTAATCAATAATTACGGTGCCTGTGGGTCGAATGCCTCCATGGTAGTCACTCAGCCACCTGGCTTTCGGACCGGGAGCGGTGCCTCTGCTATTCATGCCCCCGGCATCTCCCTTCCCTTCAGATTCTGTGGTTTAGACGAGCACCGTCTGCGTGATTATGCACGAAAGTTCTACAGTCTCTTGCAGCATCAGGCCGTTTCTGCGAGCCATCTCGCGTCTCTGGCTAATGTCTCGTTCAACGTTGCTCGCCAATGCAGCCCAACTCTCGACAGGCACCTGATATTCAGCTGCAGTTCACTGGTAGAGCTTGAGTCGCGGCTGCTTTCCGTCGTTGATGGGGACGAAAGTCGAGTTATTCGCATGGCCAAGACCACCCGCCCCGTGATTCTATGTTTTGGGGGGCAGGTGTCAACTTCGGTCGGTTTGGATCGCACCGTTTACGACACAATGCACGTTCTGCGCAATCATCTCGATGGCTGCAGCAGGATACTAGAGTCGCTCGGGTACGACAGTCTCTACCCTGGTATCTTTGAGTCCACCCCAATCGCCGATCAAGTCAAGATACAGACACAGCTGTTTGCTTTGCAGTATGCCAGCGCTCGCTCCTGGATAGACTGTGGCCTTCCAGTAGCGGCCGTCATTGGCCATAGCTTTGGAGAGTTAACTGCCCTCTGCGTATCCGGGGCACTGTGCCTTGAGGATGCGCTAGTCCTAGTCGCTAGACGGGCGACTCTGATTCGGGACAGTTGGGGACCAGACCCTGGGGCCATGATTGCTGTAGAGGGCGAGCTCCACGAGGTTGAACATCTGCTAGCCAAAGCCACGAAATCTGTCTCGACTGAAACATCCCCCTCCAGCATCGCCTGTATCAACGGCCCACGTAGCTATACGTTAGCTGGAGCAACAGAAGCGATGAACGCAGTACGTGTTATGCTTTCCACGCAGCCAGCATTCTCTCGTCTCAAACACAAATGCTTGGACGTCACCAATGCATTCCACTCGTCATTGGTCGATTCCCTCGTTCCAGACTTGAAGAGGATAAGTGACGGATTGATGTTCCGCGAGCCGCAGTTGCACCTGGAGCGGGCCACGGAAGAGCCATGCACTGGTGTCCCCTCTCCGACCATTGCAGCTGAGCATCTCAGAAAGCCGGTGTACTTCAGTCAGGCTGTCAATCGCCTAGCAGAGAGGTACAAGTCGTGCATATGGCTCGAGGCCGGTTCCAACTCAACCATTACTTTGATGGCCAGTCGGGCGTTGGCATCAAGTGCTGCCTCAAACCATCAATTCCACTCCGTCAACATCACGAGCAAAAATGGGGTCCAGAGTCTGACCGACAACACAATCGCTCTCTGGAAGGAGGGAATTTCTGTCTCCTACTGGGCACATCATTCGTCGCAGACGCCCGAGTATGACTTCGTCTTTCTCCCACCCTATCAATTTGAGAAGTGTAGACACTGGATGGACAACAAGCCGTTACCCGCAAGTAGCCCCAGCAAAGCGAGTGAAGTACAAGAGGAGCAGCCGAAGCCGAAAATTCAGTTCCTAGGATATCAAGGCTCGGCGAAGATGGTCGTCAAGTTCTCCATCGATACTACGCACCCCAGTTACCGTGAAGCTGTGTCGGGCCACATAGGTGCACAAACAGCGCCTCTCGCCCCAGCTTCATTCATGCTCGATACTGTGGTTGAGGCACTGAGAAGCTTACCAGAAGGTAAAGACAGAGTACCGCAAGTAAAGAATATCACCAGTGATGCACCGCTGGGGCTGGACGAGACACAAAATGTGTACATTACACTCACCGCTCAGAGCACGGAAAAGACATTCTGGGACATGGAATTCACCAGCGAAAATCCCGAAAAGGGTGCACGGTCACGGGTAGTCCATTGTGCTGGTCGGATCAAGATGTTCAAGGCCGATGATCCCGCGCTCCAGGGCGAATTCTCCCGGTACGGTCGCTTGGTCAGTCACCGTCGATGCCGTGAACTTCTCGACAGCTCCGACGTAGATGACATCCTGCAAGGTCGCAATGTGTACCGCGCCTTTTCCGAAGTTGTGGACTACGCTGAGCCCTACCGTGGCGTCCATAAGTTGGTCGGCAAGGGCAATCAGTCAGCCGGCCGAGTGGTGAAAAAGTATTCTAGTCAGACCTGGGCGGACACGTTTCTGTGCGACTCATTCAGCCAAGTAGGAGGTTTCTGGATCAACTGTATGACCGATCGGCCAGTGTCCCAGATTTACATCGCCAGTGGCATGGAGCAGTGGATGCGTACACCGTTGTATGCTGACCCAAGCACGCCGCGTCCTGAGACCTGGGATGTGCTAGCAACACATGAACGAGGAGATGGCTTCTACACCACTGATATCTTTGTCTTTGACCCGGAAAAAGGCCAACTGGTAGAAACGTTCATTGGGATGAAATACTCATGTGTGCCAAAGGCAGTCTTCAGCAAGATCCTCAGCAAGCTGGGGTCGAGTGCCATTCCTCAACAGACTCATCAGGCTGCAGTTGTGACAAAAGCAGTCTCGTCGCCGCCAAAAGCGACAGCTAGTGATCCAGTCTCCAAAGCAAAGAAGGCAAAGGCACAGACTTCCGACCTGGTCGTACGCATCAAGGGCGTGGTTGCCGATTTTTGTGCTGTCGATCCCAGCGAAATTCACGATGACGGCAATATAGCTGATGCTGGCGTTGATTCTTTGATGGCAATGGAGTTGGCACGCGAGATGGAAGAAGTGTTCAAGTGTACGCTGCCAGCAACCGAACTTATGGAGGCGGAGACGTTCCGTGACCTCGTCCGTGCGGTGCAAAGAGCTATGGGAATCGACACAGTTGATGAGGCAGAAGATATAGATGAAACCAGCGAGAGTGGCACTACCTCCTATACCGAGTGTGAAACAGAGTCAGATGCGGCAGTTGACGCTGGTACCACCGAGTCTGTGACTAGCATGAGCACTGACACGCCCGAGCTACATCTGCCGCACGACAAAATCTTAGAGGCATTCGCTGAAACCAAAGCCTTGACAGATCAGTTTCTCTCGGAAAACAACTGCAGCGGGCGCGTGCTTAGCTTCAACCCAGTCCAGATGCAACTCTGCGTGACGCTGACTCTGGAGGCATTCGAGGAGCTGGGTTCATTCATTCGAAGTGCGCAACCAGGTCAGCCGCTCGAGCGGATCAAATTTGATGCCCAGCACGAAGAGCTGGTGGAATACCTCTATTCCCGATTGGAGGAAGCTCGGCTGGTAGAGTTGGATGAAGGAACGGTGACTCGTACGAGCTTGGAGTGGACCAGGATGTCTAGCACTGCCATTCTCGACGAAATCAGTCGGACCTACCCTGAGTTCGTAGGTGCCAGCAAGCTTGCCTTTTATACAGGAAGCAAACTGGCATCGGTGTTACGCGGCGAACAAGATGGTCTTCAGCTGATTTTCGGGACAAAAGAAGGACAGGAGCTTGTATCATGGATGTACGGTGATGAATCGCACAACGTGAGTGGTTACAAGCAAATGCTGGATTTCATTCAGCGGCTCGTACACAAGCTTGGCAGTCGTTCGGGGACAGGTCCGCTGAAAATCCTCGAAATGGGGGCTGGTACCGGAGGAGGTACAAAATGGTTCCTTCCCGTGTTGGCCAAGCTTGGTGTTCCCGTCGAATATACCTTCACCGACATCTCCCCTGCCTTTCTGGCGCAAGCCCGTCGGCGCTTCAAAGAATATCCCTTCGTGCAGTACCGTGTGCATGACATCGAGAAGCCTCCGGCAGACGATTTAGTTGGGACTCAGCATATCATTATCGCCAGTAATGCTGTGCATGCAACCTCGAATCTGCAGGTGTCAACCGGAAATATGCGTCGGGCATTACGACCCGACGGGGTGGTCTTGATGCTCGAGATGACTCGACCACAGTTCACAATTGATATCGTCTTTGGGCTCTTCCATGGCTGGTGGGTATTCAATGATGGGCGAAACCATGCTATCACTAGCGAGAACCGCTGGGAAGCCGACCTCCATGCCGTCGGTTACGGCCACGTGGACTGGACAGATGGTCATTCGGCTGAAGCGAGCGTCCAACGAGTGCTCTTTGCTACTTCTACCGGAGAGCAACGTGAACGGCTTCCGCTGGGGCCGAATATGTCTCATGTGAGCCTCCTTGCCAGTGTTGACAATGTTGCTCGAAAGCAGGCGACTGACAAGTATATCCGTCGCAGCATTGAAGGCTTTACCGGACCGACAGTGACCCATAGTCCAGTGACTGGACCGGTCGCTGTTTTAGTTACGGGGGCCACGGGCAGCTTGGGCTCTCACATAGCTGCATATTTGGTGCAGCTGCATGAAGTTAGTCGGGTCATCTGCCTCAACCGACGGGGGAAGGAGGATCCGTTTAACCGACAGAAGAAGGCTTTTTCAGATCGAGGTCTTACTTTGACCTCCAACGACTTTGACAAAATCACGGTGATTGAAACAGATGCGCAAGACGTAAAGCTTGGGCTCTCAGACGAGCAGCATCAATTTGTACAGGATACCGTTACACATATCATCCACAACGCTTGGCCGATGAACGGTGCCCGGGGCCTGTCCGGGTTTGACTCTCAATTCCGAACCATGCGGCACCTGGTCGATCTAGCACGCGACATCGCGTCTGTCCGACCTGCAAAGACTCGGATTGGTTTTCAGTTCATATCTTCCATTAGTACGGTCGGATTTGGTCCTCTCGTGACGGGTAAGCCAGAAATTCCGGAGGATCAAAGCGTGATTGACTGGGTGTTGGCCAATGGATACGGCGAAGCAAAGTTTGTCTGTGAGCAGATTCTTCATCAGACCTTGCAGACATATCCGGACCGGTTCAATGCCATGGTGGTACGACCTGGTCAAATTGCAGGGTCATCGCTCAGCGGGTACTGGAATGCTGCGGAGCATTTACCCGCTCTGCTGAAATCGGCCCAGACACTGAAGGCATTGCCTGATTTTGGCGGGGTGTTGTCTTGGACGCCTGTCAACACTGTCGCAGCCACTCTAGGCGAGCTTCTCTTCGCCGACAAGGCCCATCCCGTCTATCATGTTGATAATGCGGCTCGTCAACCGTGGCGAGAGATGACGCCCATTCTTGCGCAGGAGCTGGGAATTCCCCTTGGCAATTTGCTCCCGTTCTCAGAGTGGATTGAACGAGTTGAGGCCTTTGCTGGTTCACGAGAAGACAACCCGGCATGTGTGATGGCGGACTGGTTGGCTGGCAACTTCGAGCGCATGTCTTGCGGGGGATTGCTGTTGGCGACAACGCGTGCCCAGCGAGACGCGTCCACGCTGCGGAGCCTGGGGCCTGTTGATCAGAGGACAGTGCGGGGATACGTGCAATACTGGCGTCGGACGGGGTTCTTAATATGAATATAAGTCAAAATTTTTCCTAACGTCAGTAGTGTGGTCTCATAGTTCATTTAGAAGATGCGAAATAATAGACGCAAACGTCAACTTTCTAGATCATGAAATGAAGTTTTCTACACAAATTGTCCAGAAAGCGGGGGGAAAGACGCGGGGGGGAAATCACCGCCTTGGTCACCGCCATGGCAGGTTTCCTCTCCCCCTCCCCGATTATTCTGCCTCGTGGCTGCAATCTTCCGCCGGAACCTGCAACTCTGCCTTTGCCGCTCACTCATGGAAGAACAGACAGAAGCATCATCGTCTGTGGCAGACTCCTCTGTCTCGCCAATCTCAGCATCAGCTTCACTATCCAACAAACCAAGGAGAACACGATTGGCACCTTCAGTGCTACCCACGCGCGTCAGTAGCGCCTGTGAACGATGCCGTCTCCACAAATCCCGGGTAGGCAGGCCGACTTGCCGCTCCGGCATAGCTTATAGATCAACGGACTGACCGACTCACGGCAGTGTGATCCATATCGACCATGTTCATTGTGTGTGCGAGCGAATGTCGAATGTCGGCAACGCCCTGCAATTCAACGACGCGCGGGAAATCTCCCATCGTAAGCTTTCGCAACTTTTCCTCTCAAGGCTTCAAGGGGAAGTGCGGCTGTCCAATAGCCCCGAGCTGACCGCACGAGCTGAAGCTCTCGACGCAGACTACCTGGCGCTCGAGGAAAGCCATCGCATCGCCAAAGACAAATATGCAGTCCTCCATCTGGGGAATTGTTGCAGGGTCCGACCACTAGAGGGAACGATCCGGTTTCGTCGCCCCGAACGATGTCGGCGGACAATCGCCACCAATATAACCCGATATCATCGTCCATTGAACCTGGTGAAGCCGAGTCTGCCATGGGTATTGCTCGCAAGATATGCGAGCTAGGCAGCCAGCATCTAGACGAACAAACCACTTCGGCCATTCCTGGCTACTCAGCAAGTAAAGGCGTCTTACCTGCGCCTGGCACTGCCGCAAATCGTCGTCCTATTTCCGCCATTCTAGGTCAACCATTCCCTGCGACCGAGATCATATACAGTCTATTGGATGATTACTTTGACACGGTTCATTGGTTTTCGCTGGTAGTCTATGAGCCCAAATTTCGTCGCAAGCTTCAAACCATTGCCGACGGTTGCGCCGACCCCACCCAGCGACCCTTCCTCTTATTACTGGCAGTCATGCTCGGTATGGCGGCATGGTACCGGTCACAAAGCAGCCGTCAGGAGCTGTCTAACGCGAATGACAATTGGGCGGACTGGAGTGATATTCTTATGCGACTGGTTGAAAACAATCTGATAGATGTGATGGACCATCCTTCTCTCCTCGCAATACAGACCTGCATTCTCTTCGGTTCATATCATGTTTACCACGGAAGACCAAATTTGTCGTTTACTCTACTTGGGGCGACTATCAAAATGGCACATGCGATTGGCATGCATCGTGAGCCTCGACGCGGTGATATTGATGACATCGAAGAGCGAAAGCGAGTGTGGTGGACGATCTACACATGGGACCGGTTTGCATCCATCACGTATGGCACACCATTGGGCATAAACGACAAGGATTGTAATTTGAACATGCCTGCAGACATTTACGAAAACCCATCCTTCGCTCACCCGGCCTCTGATGACTCTGCTTCTGTCTGCTATTCGCCATATCAACGGGAATTGAACCGACTTTATCTGATTGCATCGCCAGCACTTGAGATCATCTTTGGCTCTCGTACTTCACGGACGTCTCAAGATCTAGTCAGGGACAGTTTTGTAAGTTTGGTCCAGGAGACTTCGGAAAAGCTTCATTCGTGGCGACAATGTCTCCCAAGCCACTTGGTCCTCGATCTCCAGCAAGACTTCCGTGCAACCGGTGAACAGAGCTCCAAAGCGTATGCCTTGCAAGCCTTGTCACTTCATCTAACATATGACAACATTTTGATCGTGCTTTACCGTCCTTTAATTTCAAGGCAGGTGGACCATCTCTGGACGAGCAACTTGTCACCTGGGGTTGACGAAATACATTCGACTGCTTTTGCGACGGCAGCTGCTCCAGACTCGTCCAGAAGAACTCCTATCCAAGCCAGCACAGCCAACTCGGAATTTTGGATGAAAGCCGCCATTCGAACGTCCAGAATAACTGAGCTGCCGGTGCTTGCGCAACTGGCGACCGATAGTCATTTGGTCGCCTTCCTCGCCATCAATTTATTCAACGCCGCGGTTGTCTTGGCAGTAATGGCCATATCAGAGCCGCTTTCTGATACAGCTCAAGAAGTCAAGCGGACGATGACCCGCATTCTTCGTCTACAAGACCTCTTGGGAAAGCGCTCAGCCCTCTCCAGACAAAGTACTCAGGTTCTGAAGAAGGTGGTTACGATGCTTCTCCGCCGGGAATCGGCCGCCATGCTCGCCCCTCTTGCGGAATCCACCGCCTTCACTGAGTACGATACCAATGGCGACCGAGCTCTACCTGATCCACCTCCCATGTCTGTCGAAGAGACGCTGCGATTGCCGTTAAATGCGACTTTAGACATGGTGGATCCCTTGGTGGGCAGTCAGGGGAGCTCTAACTTCGATCGCGCTGGTCGCGTCAATGAAAGCTTGACTTCCCTTCAGTACGGTAAGCCATTCTCCTCTCCCCGTTTTCTTTTTCCTCTTTTTCTGTGCTGATGCTGATGCTTGTGGGAAATTCCCAGTCATGGTTCCCGGCCAGGATTACACGCTCCACGTTCCTGTACTAGGAGAAAGTCAGCGGGGTCAATTGCCTACTCATCCTAACATTTCCCCGGCGAATGACTGGGCGCTCCCTGCGCCAAGCGACTGGCAACGGCCCAATGGTCTTACGCCACCTGGGGAAGACGGTCATTACAACAACGTAGAAAACGGTCTCTACTGGCTCTGGGACACCACATGGAATGGGCTGTGAATAAAGTTTCTAAAATCGTTACACGGTGTATCTCTCTATCCCAAAGTTCCATGGTCGCCATAAAAAGAAGTCACCCGCACCGAAACCCAGCTTCTACGCTTCAACAGCATTGGCTGTTTCTGCGTCCACCTCCGGTCCATATATAACACTCTTGATTCCTATCCTGTTTGCCACATTCTGAAATGCCTCCTCGACCTGCGAGAAAGAGTATTCGTGAGTGACAAGGCCGTCGACATTGACACGTCGGGCGTCAAGCAGTCCTATGGCGGTTCGGAAGTCTCCAGGGCCGTAGCGGAAGCTGCCCTTCAGGGTAACCTCTTTATCACAGATTTGGCCAATTGGAACGGTGACACTCGGTCTACCCAAGCCGACCTGGATGAAGGTTCCTCCTGGCGTGACCGCGTGTAGACCACAGACAAGGCAAGGCTCCGCCCCCGTTGCGTCGAAGATCACATCTGCGCCGTCTTCGAGTCCCGCCGCTCTGAGAAGGTCGGCCGCATTCACCTCAGGCAATGCGTCACTCATTTGGTATGTATGTGTGGCTCCGTACTTGCCAGCGACCGTAAGCCGACTGGAAACAATATCAACCGCAACTACGGTAGATGCACCAAAGGCACGGGCAACAGCACAGCAGAGGAGTCCAACCGGACCCGCGCCGAAGATGATGACAGACTTGGTTTGCATATCTCCTGCGAGCCGACAAGCATGCACTGCGACACTCAACGGCTCAACCAATGCGCCCTGACGCAGTGAAATGTGAGCGGGAAGCTTGAAACAGCACTCGACCGGGACGCGGTAGTATGTGCAAAGTGTCCCGTCAATCGGCGGCGTCGCTGCAAATCGCATATCACGGCAGAGATTATAACGTCCCCTGCGACACGGCTCGCACGTATTGCAGGCGACACCAGGCTCTAGGGCAACGCGGTCTCCCACGGCGATCCCTTCAGCTTTGCTGCCGCAAGAGACCACGATTCCTGTTGACTCATGGCCCAGGATGATTGGTTGCTCTACCACATAGCGACCGATTCTTCCATGTTGCCAGTAATGTACCTGTTGGAAAGATAACACATTAACTCCGAATCGACTCACCAGTGTCAATAGGATCGAAGTCAATACTCACGTCGGAGCCGCAGAGCCCGGTTGCGACAATTTTCACAATGACATCCCTTTCGGACTGTACCTCCGGTGCCTTGCGGGTTTCGTAGTAAAATGAGCCGCCTGGTTTGAGCACGGCAGCTAAATTTGCGTCCTTGAATTGAAGAATTAGTGACCCGAACTTGGAAGCTTTTAGAGACAGTCCCAGTGACATTCATGGAATCGCCTACCTGAGTCGAATCTGCAGCAATCATGTTTCCAAGCCTTGAGCAATTTGAAGGTCAGATTTATGAAGATCTGCTAATCTGTCCCGGCTCCTCTCTGTCTTTTATTATACCTGCCGGCAGGTTGTGTTTATAAACCACAGGCGCACTGACTCGAATCCGGCGGAGCAGTGCAGCTTCGGTTCCGGCCTTCCTAACAATGATTGCATTGCTGATTGCTGATTCCCCGCATCGATCGACCATCGACTAGAGCTAGTGAGACATCAAAACGAGGATCTTCCCCGGTCGGCTTCGTCCCCACCTTCATAATTATTTCTTCTTCTCGTGGCGGTGGTCTCGACACCGATTTCTTCGGGTTCTAAGACCTATCCGCCTAGCTTGTCTCTCAATGCCTGGTCAGACTTGCTTCCTGCTAGTGATAAGCAAGGAGCGATTCCGATCCCAGACAGGAAAACTCTCCTTCTCGGATTGCTGTCATCCAACGCTGAGCAAGCTCTGTTCCGTATGGATTTTGTCCCGACGCGAGTCATCCGGGCCAGTGTTAACAGCTCTCTTGGGCAGCCGCTCATTGCTGAGCATAGTGGGTCCGGAACCGAATTTCTGGTCAGGCAAGTCAGCATCCGCCGGAACCGAGTGTGCGAACCCGCCTGGGACTACACAATGCGCCTGAATTGATATAGCATCAGAGCGAAAGCGACATACAAATGGCTGTCTATGACCTGGATTGGAGTGTGGAGTGATTGCCGTCATCTCTTCTGGGGATGTATATACCCAACTTGCGTACTAGAGAGACACTGCAGGAAATGGCCGCGTTGTCTTCTCCCAGCTCGATGATTCGCCGAAGAATTTACTATTGGTATGGCCAGGGTTCAACTTTGCCTTCGTGCCGATCGTGTATCTCTTCTACTCGGAGACAGCCCACCGGTCGCTGGATTATATTGATCGCTTCTTTCAGGATAGCAATGGTGTCTGTGTTAGAATGTGCCGGAGACCATCGGGGTCGAACGACTGCTCCGGTATGTTGTGCCGGAAAATGAGCGGCTCCAGCTCGGTACGACTGTTACGGGCGCTAAGATGGGGGCTGGTGTGATGGAGTATAAGGAGCATGCTTAAAGACTGGCTTCTGCCAGGTCAGGGTAGTGGTACGCCAAGCTCATACTTCAACAATTGCCATGTCAGCGGCATACCCAGGATTACATTCTTGTTTCGAAGGCAGATGGCGGAAAAAGATATTCAAATCAATATAAAAGGTTACGATTTCATTTCACGATGAACAGGATAAAAAGAGAGTCACCTCAACGAAACAGCGAGTGAACCAAGCCTAGAGGCGACTGACATCAAGCCTCACTTCCAAACATGACCCTCCATCTTCAAGTACTCGAAACTCTCAGCCTGCTCCACCACCTCATCCTCGTCATTCTTCAGGAGCCCCTGGTCGAACAGATCAGCACCAAATTTCCACGGCTTGCGACACGCCGGGCAATGCATAGGTATCCTGAATTTATAGTCGGTGCCCCATTCGATCGCACCGTGCCGGTTCCAGGCGCACTCCAAGTGAAAATAGGTAGTGCAGCCCTCGCAGCACAGGTCCACGTGCGGGTCGGCGCGCTCGCAGATGTCGCACGCCGCATCCGCGGGCTTGTTGGCTGGGTTATTGATCTTGCGCGCCAGGACGCGACGGCGGGCCTGCTCGGCGGGCTGCAGGCAGTCCCAGTTGCGGAAGTCGTTGCTGGAGAAGACCTCTTCGAAGCTGCGGTGCTTCTTGATCTGCTCCAAGGTTGGACATCCCAGCTGCGTGCGCCAGGGGAAGAACATGATCGTGCCTGGCTTCGGAGTGTCGTCGCCGGTACTCTGCGGCGTGAGGATTGCGGGGTAGCCGTCGCTGTCGCTTGACTCATTCTCGCTGTCGGTCTGCTGGGGCGTGAGAAGGACGCCCCCGTCTTCACTGCTGAACCCGGCTCCGTCGTCGGATGTCTGCGTCGCAGCATGGGATGTTGAGGGGGTCGGCACGCGCGACCCAGCGTCAGATGCCTGAGGAGCTGTGGCAGGCTCGCTTGCCGCACTAAGGCGGGCAAGATCCTTTTTCAGCTCGCTGTAGGCGCGGAATCGGAAGTAGGGCATCTTGAAGCTGAGTTGGGGAGGTGAAGTCGGGTGAAGGTGAAGATGAAGGTGGTCGATGGTTGATGTTACTGATGGCGATCATCACGGTCAATATATACGCAGCCGCACAACAGGGATAGAAGTTCTCTACAACAAAGAGCTCACAATGCCCATTGTATCAAGCATGGAGTATAACAACCGTTCTTCAGGAGTAACAACGAATGGCCATAGTTCAGGTCTGGTACCCGACCGAAGAAGTACTTGCAGGGTTTTTGTTTCGTGACTGAAGACTGTTTACCTTCATTGATCCATTGCACCGATCTTTTTGTACTGAAATGACAGTCTCATCAATCCTCATATTCCGTTCATTATGCAGATGCAAGCACCAAGCACCCCCTTGTTTTCGCTTTTTCATCTCCACCATCACGCTGAATCAAATCACAAAGCATCTCAACCAGTTACTTACACACTCCATCCTCTGCCCTCATCTTCCTCGTCATACCTAATCCCCCCCCCCAAGAACCTATTTTGGATCATGCGCAACAACCTCAATCTCAACGCGCATATCATCCTCGCCCAGCCGCGTGACCCCGACACAGGTCCACAGGGGCTCGTGGTCGGGCATCCACTTCTTGAAGTTCCGGACCATGGCGTCCAGCGCCTCGTTGTTGATGGGCACGTGGTACGAATTCACCCGGAACACCTGGCTCCAGCCCTTGCCGCCAGCGGTCTTCAGGTTCAGGTCCACGTTCGCGAAGGCCTGGTCGATCTGCGCGTTGATCTCGCGGTGGATCTCGCCGGTCTGGGGGTCCCAGCCGCCTGTTTACCCAGAGATTCAGCATTGCATTGTGTATGCAAGATGGTGAGGGAAGGAGAGGACCTACCCTGGCCGGAACATTCGATGCGGTCGCCGATGCGGACGGCCTGGCTGTATTTGAAGGTTTGTTGGTTGCGCTTGCCGACACCGTCGTAATTGTAGTAGGTGAGGTGGGACATGATGCCTGATTAAGGGTGTATATGTGTGGGGGTAGAGGGAATGTTAAGTCAAGGGGGGTCTTAAGGTCAAGGTGGATTGGGAAATGAGTGAGGTTCCATGCGATGACGACGGGGTTTTATAGAATTCCCCGGGCGGGTTCGAGACAGCGGAATATATGTTCCGCGAGGAAGGAGTGGCCCTGAGGGGATGAAGTCATGGATGTTTTCTCACTTTCTGTCTGTCTCAGATCGATGACTTTTTCTGTCTCTTCTCTCTAGATAAACAAAGAAAGCTCATTCTAGTGCAAAGGAATAGAGCCTGCCAAGCTCTCTATTTCGTGAAGTGTCCAGAATGTCAACTTACATGCAGGAACTTGCACCAGGCAGCATTCTCTGAGAACTGTTGGTACCTAGACTCAACTTCCAAAATTGGTCTGAAGTCCGACTTCCTAGGTATGTTCCTACATATACTATTTTCCATCAATCTACATGTCCATGATGTATGTAGGTAGAATCTGAAAATCACTGCAAAGCCAAGCATCAAGCATCAACCCATAATCACGTGACCAGAGTCATGAGTAATCGACTCGCACCTTGGCCCAAAGACTAACCTGTTTAGGCGCTAGTTGGTGGCTGGCGGTGACCACCTCTCCCGACCGCCCGGAGATATACTGCCGGCGAACCGCATTCGGCGCCAGCCAGCTCCGCCCGGTGGTTCCTCGTCCTTCCTTCAATCCCCCAGCCTTGGAATCATTCAATTATTCGCAACTGAGATCTGAACCACACTCTTTTACTTTCCTACTCTTTCATCCAGTTCCATCCACTCCCTCATCAATAAACACTTTTCCTAACACTCAATTGCATCCATCTTGCACCAGCATCTGTACACTCGACCTCATCACCCCAATCCCAGCCCATCACTCGTATCCTACCCTTGCGACTCCGCGACACTAATCAGCCATAGTAAGCTCCGCCCAGCATCAACGCCCCCAACAAAGACCACCCTCACTAACACCCAATCACCGCAGCTACCCCCCACAAATTTCTCAACCCCAAACCCCCAAGACAAAAAAAATGTCCATCCGCACCCTCTCGGACACCGACTTCGAAGACAGCACGCTGAAGCGCGCGCGCACGGACCCGACCGCGCACCGGCTCTGCTACGACTGGATGATCGTGCAGGGCAACTGCCACTACGCGCGCGACCGCGCCGCCTTCACGAGCTACCGGCCCGTGACCACCGTGCGCCTGCAGACCAACATCTTCAACCCGATGGAGGAGCTGGAGGTGGCCGGCGTCGGCACGGTGGAGATACCTGTGATGCGGTCGCTGACGGACCCCACCAACCCCAACCATAACCCGTTCGACAACACCCAGTCCAACACCAACACGCACACCCTCGTCCTCGAGAACGTCCTGCACATCCCCGAGGCCGTCTGCAACGGGTTCAATCCGCTGCTGTACGGGAGCAGCATGTCGTGCACGGCCGAGAGCTGGACGGGCGCGGATCGCGCGGGCACCCCGCTGTGGGTGGCGACCCCCTTCGCGGGCGGGTCGCGGCTGGTGCTGGCCGGCGCGGCGGCGCAGCTGCAGCGCCAGCAGGGGGTGTCGGAGCTGATTGCCGGGCGGTACTATACGCTGAGTCTGTATATTAGTCCTGCGGAGAAGGCGGAGTTGATGGGGTAAGACGGGGAGAGGTCGTTTGCCGCAGAGATGAGAAAGGGATTGTGGCAACCTAGGGAGAAAAGGGAAGGGTGAATCCTGTTGGGGCGAGGCAGGAGGCAACATGACAGGTGACTGTCGGCTCGTCTGTACTGTACAATATATTATGATACCTATGATAGAATATCGCAAAAAAGCAATACGATACGATTCCGGATAAGTCAAGCGAGATGCATGGCGAAGAAAAGCATGGCATGGCATGGCATGGCATGCCTGCCCCTCCGTCGGGGGTCGGATGGACACGTGGAAGAGCGGCAGTCGGAAGAGCTTCACCCAGCTCGATCGATGCCATGAGATGGGATACGGAAAGAACTCCCAATAACCTCCTGCAGTAGCTTGGGCGCTTAAACGGTCCGGTCAATTCGATTGTGGATCGAGTGACTGGGAAAGAGCGTCTGTGCGAAAGGTCAGTCAGTCACTCAGTAATCAGTGAGAGAGTGTTTGGAGGCGATTCACTGATCATCCCGGGGTCTAATTTAGGGCTCGATCCCAACTTCACGCCATGTGGGCAGCAAAGACCGCGGGGAAAGTGAAAGTGAATGAAAGGGGGGATATACCTCAGCCCACTATAGTTCGACCCAACCACTCGCTTAAGACCCTGAAATCCAGTTCACATGTGTCTCCATGCGTCCTTAGGACGGAGTCGAGGGCCGAGAACCTACCAGAAAAGAAAGGGTCTAATCTCGCATCTCGTGTGTCGAAGTGTGTCTAATCCCCATGGGGTCTTCTCTCGTCCGGCTGTTCGGCCCGTGGCCCGTCTGTCACGCAAAGCACCACCAAACTCCCCAAGAAACTACCCAATATGGCTCAATCTTGCCCCAACCAACCTTTTTTTCAATCCAATATCTCGCGAGATGGCAAATGGCAAATGGCAAAACCAACGATCGTGTTTCCCTGCGGCAGTCCGGCCCAGACTGCCACTGCACACACACCCTCTCTTGCCATTCGGGCATCCCCAGCTTCCCCGGATTCATCTAATCCCGTTTGGATACGGGGTCTCATCCTTGCTGCAATTAGCCCGCCACTCAGCCTATTCTTTGCGAGTCCCTGTCCCTGTCCTATCACAGCGCCTCATCCCCAGGTAATTTTCCGCGGCATCTGGTGACAGGAAGGGACTATAGTCAGACATGCAGCAATACCCAGTCTTACCATGCCATGCCACCACCCCTCGCCCGCCCGCCAGCCCGCCCTCGCTTCAATTTTCGATGGTATATATGAGCTCCTTGATTTCCGCTCGAGAGTCCGGTTTCTCCTTTTTTTCTCTTTGTTTCTCAGGTCAGCTTTGAACATCAATTCGAAAGATTGTCTTCCGGAAGCTCTCTCACACCATGTCTGAGAAACATACGGCGGAGGTCTCCCACCTGGACTCGTCCGAGGTCCAGGTCAAGGGGGTCCACAATGCGGCGTTGGCAGTGGCCACCATCCAGCAGAAGCCCAGTCTGTGGAGCAAGAGCATGCTCAAGGTATGCCACTCGATGATGTGGTGCGTGGGCGGGCGTTGTGGGTGCTAACGAACAGTTAGCTGTACTGCTGTATCGCGGTCGCCATGCTCAACTCCTGCATCAACGGTTACGACGGTTCCCTGATGGGCTCGATCAACAGTTATCCCCAGTACCGCGATTACTTCGGGTTCGACCCGGACGCCGGTACCCCCTCGACCGGTATTGTGTACGCCATCTATACCATCGGAAACATCGTCGGATCGTTCACGGCCGGTCCCTTCACTGATTTCAAGGGTACATTCTTCTTTCCCCATTCCCTTGGGTCTGACTACGGAACCAAGGCTCTGACAGGCGTACAATAGGACGACGAGTCGGCATGGCGATCGGCGCCATCTTCATCATCATCGGAACCTGCGTGCAAGCCTCGTGCCACAACCTGGGCGGATTCATGGGCGGCCGCTTCCTGCTGGGATTCGGCGTGGCGACCTCGGCCACTGCCGGACCGGCCTACGTGTCGGAGATGGCCCACCCGGCCTACCGCGGTGCCATGACGGGTCTGTACAACGTGCTGTGGTTCGGGGGTGGTATTCCGGGCACCTTCATTCCCTGGCGCACCAGCCACATCCAGAGCGACATGAGCTGGCGGATTCCGATCTGGCTGCAGATGGTGTTCTCCGGGCTGGTGTTGTGTTTCGTTTACTTCCTCCCTGAGGTAGGTCTCTAATGATCATCCGTGCCGTGAAGACAGAGGCTCATCGTGTCCAGTCCCCCCGTTGGCTCATGTCCCACGACCGCCACGAAGACGCCCTCAACGTGCTGGCCGAATACCACGGCGAGGGCGACCGCAACGCTCCGATCGTGCAGCTGGAATACCGGGAGATGATGGAGGACATTTCCAAGACGGGGTCCGACAAGCGGTGGTGGGATTACCGCGAGCTGTTCAACACGCGCGAGACGCGGTATCGGTCCATGCTGGTGATCTTCATGGGTGAGTTTCCCCAGAGCCCCCTCACCGTAGCCACCGCAACTGACATCGCACACAGCTCTCTTCGGCCAATGGTCCGGCAACGGCCCCGTCAGCTACTACTACCCGCAGATGCTCCGCGGCGCGGGGATCACCAGCAACAACACGCAGCTGCTGCTGCAGGGCTTGCAGAACGTGGTGTCGCTGATCGGGGCGGTGTCCGGGGCGTTGCTGACGGACCGGTTCGGGCGGCGGCAGCAGCTGCTGGTGTCGACCAGCCTGGTGGTGGTGCTGTTCATCATCGTGACGGCGCTGAACGCGACCAACGTCGTCGACGGGCCCGACGGCACCCCGACCGCCAAGAGCGGCATCACCGCGCGCGCCCAGATCGCCATGATCTTCATCTTCGGCTTCGTCATCTCCGCCGGCTGGACCCCCAACCAGGCCATGTACCCCGTCGAGTGTCTGCGGTACGAGTCCCGCGCCAAGGGCATGGGCATGAACAACGTAAGTTTGGTTGATGACTGGCAGGCTTCGTGTAAAAGATCCTAACCGACGAGACAGTTCTTCGTCAACATCGCCTCCTTCTACAACACCTTCGTCACCGGCATCGCCTTCACCCGCGCCGGCTGGAAGTACTACTTCCTCTTCATCTTCTGGGACACCCTCGAGGTCATCGTCATCTACTTCCTATTCGTCGAGACCAGCAAGCGCACCCTCGAGGAGTTGACCGAGATCTTCCAGGCCAAGAACCCAGTCAAGGCCTCGCTGAAGCGCGATGAGGTGCTCGTGTCGGGCGGGGAGGCGACGCAGATCAGCAAGGAGACGGAGGCGTGATACGCTGGGGGGTGGGTTGAATGAGGAGTAGTGGAGGAGTAATGGGAGGCTTCTGGGTGGTTGGAATGTTTGGATGTTCGCTGTGGCAGTCGATTATAACTTATCATTAACATTAATAAGGAAGCTGCTGCTGCTGCTGCTGCTGCATCGTCCGATTTGGCCACTGCTTTTGCTCCCCTCTACGTTGAAAATCAAGTAAGCTTCATGCCCAGAATGATGATACCTCCTGTACAGCCCAGATCCTGCTCCGTGCAGTCCCCAGGGAAGGTATTCCACTTATCCTATCGCAGGTTCAAGCAGGCGCGCGACCCACCCACGGCTCAGGGACAAGAATCCGGGATTAGGGCTGCATGAGCGACAGACAACCTGCCTGGCCCCCTGACTGAAGCGGATACTTAATTATCTACTCCGTGGTTAGGAGTTATTTATTCAGCCTCAGTGGTCACGTATCTTATCGCTGATACTTTCAGATAACCACCTACACAAGATATACTAGTACTTGGAGGTTAGTACGTCCTACCTCAGGTAGTGCTGTACTCCGGAGTAGTAAAGATGAAAAGGTCCCCAACCGGGCATGTATCGGTCTTCTCGACTGGGTATGAAGAATGTTATACTAGGTATGGTAAGGCGGAATGGACCACGCCCCAAAGATCATCGTGGTGATCCTCTCACACAATGTAGCGAGCTAGATGCATAACAGAGAGCTGCATTGACTACAACTTTATAGCCGGAAGACATAAGTCACCCATCTACAAACCCAGAACCAGCAATCTATCTATACAAGATCATAACAACCATCGCGGAGTGGAATCCAAACACCGTGGACCTGTCAACTCCCCCCGACCCCGGCCACCAAGACGACCAACCTAAGCTCAATTGCTCGTAATAATCAACTCCTGCACGACCTGAATCCCCCCTTCTTCCCCCGTCATCCGCCGACCCTCCGCATCCACCGCCGCCAGCATGATCTGCTCATCACTGACCGTCGCCAACTGCGTCCACTGCGTATCCGGCAACGACAGGGGGTGCCGGAACTTCTTCTTCCGGGACTGCGAATGCGCACTGCTCGGATGCTCTCCTTCCGAAAGGGGATACCCGGACCCCCCGGGCCCCGGCCCAGTCGTCGTGCTTCCGCCCTTCGCGTTGAAGCTGTGGGATGACCAGTAGCTGCCCGCCCGTTTCACCATCCGGCGACACACGGGGTAGATCATGGGGAGGTTGCCGATCAGGACGGCGACGAAGGTCTCGCGGCAGGCCCAGCTGCCGGCTTGCGAGGCGCCGTTCGCGCCGGCCTTTGGGGGTTTTTTTTCCATTAGCAAGGCATTTTCGTCGTTCATTTGAAAAGACGGAGGCGGGGGGAGGGATCAGTAGTCACTCCACGGAAGAGTCAATCAAGTAAGGGGGTTTACGCACCGTGACAATCAACACACACCGCAGAATCCCCGCCGCCATGACGAATAGCCCGCCGCTGAACAACACCACCAATTCGAGTTTCTCTCGCCATGGGAGACGGGCTTTGAAGAGGATCTATCCCATAACGCGATCAGCCTTGATCCCAAGCAAGAACCAAAATCATCATCGGTCCGGATCTTTCCGAGAAGGGGGGGGGGGGAGCGTACAGGGAACGGAATCGAAATCAAATACACATCCGTCACCACATTCAGCGTCACCGTGACATACACATCGATCGGCGAGACGGCCGGCTGGCAATAGTTCCCGGGATCCGGGTGGATCTGCCAGTTCCTGTGGAGCGGACGACACCCCAGCAGGATACTCAGGATGACCGCGAGGTAGGTGCCGGCGATGAAGATGTAGGCGAGGCGGATGCGACGGGTCATGTTGTACAGCCCAGCCCTAGATTGTGGGGGGTCAATCGAACAGCCACAAAACAAGACACCAATAATCCGTCCAACCAGGAACGCAGAGACGTACGTCAGTCTCGCATAGAACACCGCCATGCACGTCTTGAGCAACCACAGCAAAGTGGTGTACAGCGACCATCCCAGCACCTGGGTCTTGGAGCCCCCGACGCGGAGCCGGTACTCTTCGGACTGCGGCGAGAGCGCCGCGCGCTGGGCTGCGGTCATCGCGTTGTTAGCGAGACCGTGCCACCAGGCGCTGACGCAGTAGGCGGCGCCGGTTTCGAGGGCGTACACTACCTGCCAGCAATAAAATTGGTTAGAAAGTGGACATCGACCGATAGGGTTTTGTGTGGTTGTCATGAAGGGGGGGGG